TGTTTGCTTGTTTACCTGGCGGAGCGGAAACGGCGTGTGATTGTTTTCAGGTGTATTTCTTGGAGTACTGGCAAGAGGAAGTGTATTTTCAGGTAGCTCCACTCTTTTGAGGTGCCTGTTCTGGCGTCTGCCCCTTTGTGCCCGTGGCTGGCTGCCAGTCACACAGCTCTGGGCCGCTTTTCCGTGGTGTGCACTGGGGCCTGGCTGTCGTGAGTGGGGACCCTGCTGCTTGGTGGATTGCCTTCCTGGCCAACTGGCCAGGACTTCAGCCAACGTGTGTGGCTCCTCTCCTTTCAGACCGTCGTGCGTGGGGACTGCCCAGTTACTCTGAGAGACTACAGGACCCTATGGCTTTGAAGTAACACTTTGGAACAAGGACCTGCCCTGCCCATGTCCCCTCTGGGGGCACATTTTCTCTGAGGGTACACTGGCTTTTGAAGAGGACTGAGAACGATGTGGGTGAATCAAGCTGTATAAGGCCCACTTGAGTTCTGTTTTGCATGACAAGGGTAATTTTGCGGGGTGACTTTACTTGGAGTAAGCAGAGGGGAACCCCTCTAAAGGGGGGAATAGCAGCCATCATGGCAAGGCCAAAGTCAAAGCATGGTATCTCTGTGGCCAGAATCACTGCCCAGTCACATTTTCCTGATGACTTTGATGTAGGGCATGTTGATGTCATTGTCCCTTGGCTGGGACAAGCCAGAGACAAAGGAGAAGGGTGCGCTGCCCAGGGCTCCCTGAGTCACCAGCTACGTGGATGCTTCTGGGTCTCGCATGGTCTCAGGGCACCTGCACAGGAGGATGGGCCTTTAAAAATAAAATTTTAAAAGTATATGTTTTTAGCCCTGGCCGATTTGGCTCAGCGGTTAGAGCGTCGGCCCACGAACCAGAGAGTCCCAGGTTCGGTTTCCGCTCAAGGCATGTACCTCGGTTGCAGTTTGTTCCCAGCCCCGGTTGTGAGTGGCAACCAGTCGATGTGTCTCTCTCACGTCGATGTTTCTCTTTCTCTTCTTCCCTCTCTCCCCCCCTTCTCTATCTGCAGATAAATGCAAAAAAATAAATGTCCTCGGGTGAGGTTAAAAAATTTTTTTAAATTGATTTTAGAGAAAGAGGAAGGAGAGGGAAAGAGAGATAGAAACATCTGCACGCCCCTCACTGGGGGTCGAGCCTGCAACTGAGCATGTGTCCTGACCAGGAATGGAACCAGTGACCTCTTGATGCATGGTTTGATGCTCAACCACTAAGCCACGCCTGCCAGGCTCAAATAAATTTTTTTTTTTTTATGAATAAACCAGTAGAGAAACTGGCAAAGGATGTGAACACACTATGCCCAGAAGAAAGCCATTTGAGGAGTCAATACTCCTCTGAAAAGATGTCCAGCCTCACTGATGAACAGAGATGCAAACCAGAGACAGTATGATGGAAGTTCTCAGTAGCATCAGACCGGCTGCGATGAAGCCTGAGGCCTGATGTTGGGGAGGGTGTAGGCAAGCGGCACTCACTGTTGGTGGGCGTGCCCACTGGGTCTGTGTGCTTGGAGGGGAGTTCGGCCTGTTTGCTAAAGTTGCAAATGTGTATACCTCTCATTCCAGTGGTCGCTCTTTAGAAACAACTCAATGTGCAATAATAGAGACTGAATGAGGAAGCTCTGTGTCGACATGAAAATGTGTTCCCAGTAAACCGTGGAGTGAGAAAAGTAAATTCAAAACAGCATCCGGACTGTCAGTTTCCCTCCAGTGAGAAGTGTCTGACTCAGTGCTGCCACCGTTTGCTGATGACGGCAGCTAACGATCACAAGTCAGGGCCGTCTTTGCTAACGTGCAGTCGGTGATTTTTCCAGCAGTTACACTTTGGCAGACCCTGTTATTCTGAGATGTTCCGTCGCGGTGGACATGCCTAAGGGCAGTTGTATGGCCACACTTGGAAGAGTCAAAAACTTCATCGAGGCTAGAATTGGGAAGGGCAAAGAGTAATGAACAAAATGATGAGTTCTGATTTTAGATCTGTTGGGGAGGAAGCAGGCATGTTACTTTGGGTGCTATGGAGTGTCAGAGGTCATTTGTTCATTCAACAAATATTTGCGGAGCAGTGGTTTGGTGTCAGACATTGTGGTAGGGGCTGGAGTTACTAATACCTTTATGTACACAAGTAATTGGCCAAAGTATTACAGAGAATACGGTAATAAGAGACAGCAATTTGCATGCCTGGCTAGAAAGTTGATAAGGAGGAGCTGCTGACAACATTTCAGTAGGAGTGTCTGAGAGCAGGGACTGTGCTCCATTCACAGTGTCTGTGTCCACATCATGATGAACAGTGCTTGGCCCACGGTCGCTTAACGTATGGGATTTGCTAAAAGAGTGAGTGAACGAATGAATGAATTTATTGAGTCAGGGTCCCACGGATAAGAGAAGAAACACTCATTAGGATAACTCGAGGAGGGTCATTTATTTTTTTATTTTTTTATTTATTTTTTATCCTCACCCGAGGACATTTTTCCTTTTTTTTTTATCCTCACCGGAGGACATTTTTCCATTTTCTGTTCAGGTAGAGTGGGAGGGAGAGAGAGGAAGAGAGAGAGAGAGAAACATCGATGCGAAAGGAACACATTGAGTGGCTGCCACCCGCACAACCGACCAGGGCCGAGGACAAACTGCAACCGAGGTATGCGCCCTTAGCGGGAACCGAACCCGGGTCTCTCCGGACCGCAGGCCGATGCTCTAACCGCTGAATCAAACTGGCCAGGGCGAGGAGGGTCATTTATGAAGGGACATATAGTTGTGTGGGGGCTGTAGGAGGGATGATGCAGGAACCCAGGCAGATGGAGAGGTGCTGTCACACCCCGAGGCCGGAGGGGGTGAGAGGAAAGAGGCTACTGGGAGGGAACCAGACTTCCCCCGCCCCATCTCCTGCCTGATCTACCCATGAACCAGAGGGTAGCGAGCCCGATGCAGTCCACCAGGCTGCAGGGGGCACATCTGGAGATACCTGCCAAACTCGCAGGGCCGGGCACCAGCATGCATTGCACCCAGCTCCACAGGCAACCCCGGGAGACGAGCAGCATCATGCCCATTTTGCAGCCAGGGAAACAGACTGAGGTTAGTTAGGTGCTGGCTCAAGCCACAGTTAGTGAGGTGCAGAGCTGCTGTTCTAAGAGATGCCGACACAGCGGTAGAGATCGGAGTCCCACGTGGGCCATAGCGACTGTGAAGACAACAGTGTGGCTTGGTGGCCTGGGGCCTCAGAGTCCACCGGTGGACTGGATGGTTGAGGGGGGCAGCTGACTTCTCTGGGTCTCAGTCTTCCAATCTGTAAAATGGGGTCATAGCCATCTTGGAGGATTTTTGTGAGGATCAAATGAGGGAACGATTATAGAATGTTTGGCGCTTGGAAGACTTCCCTGAATGGCAGGTGTTCGCAAAAGGAACCCTCAGTCACACGCACCGTGGAAGGGCTCAGCTTTTGGAAATGTGCCAACATAGGAAACAAATGGCTTCTCTCCTTTTTTTTTTTTTTTTTTTATCCTCACCTGAGGATATTTTTCCATTTTTTGTTCAGGTAGAGTGGGAGGGAGAGAGGGGAAGAGAGAGAGAGAGAAACATCAACGTGAAAGGGACACATCGAGTGGTTGCCACCTGCGCGACCCAATCAGGGCCGGGGACAAACTGCAACCGAGGTACATGCCCTTAGCGGGAACCGAACCCGGGTCTCTCTGGACCGCAGGCCGATGCTCTAAGCACTGAGCCAAACCGGCCAGGGCGCTGCCTCTGTTCCTTTTACCTGGGGCCTTCCAGTGCCCTCCCTGCCAATCCCCCGGCCTCCACACTCTGTGCGGCCAACGTGGCCAGGCCGTGAACATGAGAAGGCCATGTTCTCCATTTGGAAGTCAATGACATGGTCCATGCTCCTGCAAACACCACCTCCCCCCTGGGAGCCTGGAGAATTTGGACAGGGCCTGAGGCAAAGATTTGGATCATCAAGACTTCTAGACTTTGATCCTGTTTTGGCACGTTTTCCAACTGAAGTTCAAATGGATCAGCTTCTAGGAGCAGATACTCTTTGCTACTACATTCTCTGTGCCCGATTAGCTATGTTAATGATTGTCATAATCCTGCAAAGTGGGTACGATCCACATTTTACACACAGGAGAATGCAGACTCAAAGAGATGAAATACATTTGGCCCAAAGGTATACGCTTGGGTGTGGGCAGAGCCATGCAAGGCGGCCCTTCTGCCTCCAAACACTCCCTGCCGCCTTCAGGAGACCCACAAAGTTCGATTTTCTAATTATAAAAGCAGTGCCAGATTGCAATATAAAAATAACTGAAATAGCCCTGGCCAGTTTGGCTCAGCGGTTAGAGCGTCGGCCTGCGGTCCGGAGAGACCCGGGTTCGGTTTCCGCTAAGGGCACGTACTTCGGTTGCAGTTTGTCCCCGGCCCTGGTTGGTCGTGCGGGTGGCAGCCACTCGATGTGTCCCTTCACGTCGATGTTTCTCTCTCTCTCTCCCTTCCTCTCTCTCTCTCCCACTCTATCTGTACAAAAAATGGAAAAATGTCCTCGGGTGAGGATTAAAAAAATAAAAAATAAAATAACTGAAATAGGAAGAACATGTTCACCTAGTGGCATCCATACTTTCTGGATACGTTTGAGTCTTGTTTCCCGCGTAGCATGAGCACAGTAGAAATGCTTCGCAGACCTTCTCCCTGGGGGCTGGTCCCCTGCTGCGCGCCCTGTGACTTAGCCCCCGACTGCGGGTCCTCCCAGGGCTCCAGCGCTTCGCGGTCCGCAGCCCTGCTGCGAAGAACAGCTTCATATTCAGGAAGCTTTTTCCGTTTGTCCTGTTTCCTTAAGACCATTTCCCAGAAGTGGAAATACTGGTTCCCAGGCCGCTGGTGTCCGAAGCCTCTCCCTACGCATTGCAAAGTGTCCTCCTGCCGCCGCCGGAGCTTGAGCGTCTCCAGGGCCCCTTCCTCCTCTAACTGGCCTTTTGTTTGTTCCCAAAGCCTCGTAAAGAGAATGGCGCAGAGCGTGGTGGAGGTCATGGAGGACGCCAAGGGCAAGGTTCAGGAGAACCTCCTGGCCAACGGAGGTAGGTCACGGCGGTGTCATCGCGATGCGTCCTCGGCTCATGCTGGCCCATGGTGGCCCTAGGTGTGGCCACAGGGTAGTGACGGAGGGAAATGTTAGGAACCTGCCCCCCTCCTTCCTGGTGACAGACCCCACACACCAGCTGTTAGCTCATCCCCAGATGTTTTGAAGACACGCCCCTTTGCCAGTTTATGGTCCCATCGTCTTTGTTACCCGGTAGCTAAAATCCTCCGTGAAATTAGAAGTGGAAATGTGTTCGGTGGGGTCTAATGGCTGCTTGGCCCTTCCCACCTTCTCCAGCAGCCTCCGCCCTCTCCTGTATGGAAAGTTCCATCCCGCCTCCCATCCCCCAACCGATTTCTCCTGCCCAGAAACGAGGCTGAACACGCCGTCACGTGCTGAGGGAGGCCTCACACTGAACTCTTAAGTCGTGTCCAGTAAAGAGAGAGTTAGACCAAAAATGTTTGGGTCCATTCATTGTGTACCTAGAATCTGAGTGCACTTGCGACTTTTTAAACGTCAGAATTAGGGGTTTACGCGTCTGTAGAGATTATGCAACCCAAGACTCGGTGCATCTGTATTGAAAAGGAGAGTACGGGTTCTGTGTTAGCATTGATAGCATACTTTCCCTCCTGGCAACCTTAAAAAGACGTATGTGCTTGTTTCAACTGACAAATGGAAACGGTCACACTCCCAGATCTGACTTTGGCTTCGGACGTGTATGTGGTTGAATAACGACACTTTCTTACGTTGCAGGTTTGAAAGAAAAGATGAAATGTCTAAAGAGTAGGTTGTGTGTGGTTTGCTGTGTTGTGTTGTGTGGTGCCCACGTGTCCCTGGGAAGGTGGGATCTCGATCTGGCTGTAGGGGTACGGTGACCAGGTACGACGGGTTTCCCAAGTGACAACCTCGCACTTGGTCACTATATCCGTACAAACCCAGAGAGCGCTTTATTCCCTTCTGCTTCCTGAGGTCTCCCCGCCTCTCCAGCAGCTCTGCCTGAGTCCCAGAGTGAGGATGCTTTGACTCTGGGTCCCAGGTGGACTTCTGCATCCTGGCCAGCAGCCCGCTTCCTGCCCTGACGGCCGTCCTCGGTGTCCTCATGCCTGCTCTCGGAGGCTGGCTGTCATGTGGCCCCTGGCAGCTTAAATGCCCAGCTTAGCTTCGTGGGCCTTGGTGGGCAAGGGGCCTGCTTCGCTCGAGCCCCCCGAGGGAGTCCCTGTGCCCAACAGGCTCGTCCTGCTTCCGCATTCAAAGGAGCCATTTGCTTTGGGCTTTTCTCCCATCTACTCAAACTGGTGGAATTAAAACCAGCAGATCCTCTTAGGACCAATACAAATCCGTAGATTGGAAGTTACCAAAATGCCTTCGAAAACGTAACCTGTTCGTTACACTGAGATTTCTCACTGATGCTCATACACAGATATTTTGTTAAAAAGATCAACTGATCTGCCCTGGCTGGTTTGGCTCAGCAGTTAGAGCGTCTACTTGCAGTCCAGAGAGACCCGGGTTAGGTTCCCGCTAAGGGCACGTACCTTGGTTGCAGTTTGTCCCCGGCCCTGGTTGGGTCGTGTGGGTGGCAGCCACTCGATGTGTCCCTTTCACATCGATGTTTCTCTCTGTCTCTCTTTTCCTCTCTCTCCCTCCCACTCTATCTGAACAAAACATGGAAAAAATGTCCTCAGGTGAGGATAAAAAAAAAAAAAGGCTCAACTGATCTGATTTCCCAGCAGACACCTCATAGGGCCCTAGACTGAAGAGCTGACCTGAGGTAGAGAGCTACTTTTATACATAAAAGCCTGGTCCTTAGGGCACAAGAATTTGAGCTCACATTTCAAATAGCGACCAAAGTGCTTACTTTCTGCTCAGTGTCCGGGTCACTTACTAGTAGGTGACGTTCTGTCACACCATCCTGGGCCAGGTCCCGTGGAGGAAGTTCAACTTTGTTCGACGTGTTTCGTAGTCTCCCGGCCTCCTGCAAGTGGGGTCCCGTGATCTTCCAAGGGTTGTTCTGCACACTAGGCTGTGCCAGCACAGGTCAAGGATGCTAGGACACAGTAAAGGCTCTGAAAAGGTCCGCAGTCCAGCGGCCTTCCCAGACTTAGTCTGGCTGAGGCTTCCCTGTTATTTGTTGGATGGGGAAGTCCTTTTCTTCTGCAGACCTGGTGGCTAACAGGAATCACCGGAGAAACTCAGTGTAGCCCCCGCAGGTGGGATTTTTCTTTTCTTTTTTTAAATCCTCACCTGAGGATATTTTTTTCCATTTTTATCTTCAGGGAGAGAAAGGGAGAAACGTTAATGTGAGCGAGACACATCGATTGGCTGCCTCCCACACGACCCCGACCAGGGCCGGGGACTGAACTGTAACCTTGACTGGAATCGAACCCACCACTATTTGGTCTGTAGGCTGATGGTCTACCGCTGAGCCAAACTGGCCAGGGCCCGCAGGTGGGGTTTCAGTCCACCTCCTCCTGAGCACAGGAGAGAGTTCCGGTGTGTGGAGGGCCAGCATCCTCATCCAGGAGCGGTCAGACCTGGTCCTGCTGCGCAATGTGCTCCATGACCTTGGCAGGTCACCTCCCTGGGTCTTGGTTTTCTCACCTGTCAGTGACTCAGCCCTGTGTAGGCTCTTAGCTTTGCCTGGGCTCCTTTTGCTTTTGTTCGCTCTTTGCCCTGAGCTAAGCGTTGGGCATGGAAGGGCACAGACGTGTTTGATTTCAGTAGAAATGGCCCAAACACGCCATTGTCTCACCTGGGCCCTAGAATATGCACAGACACCATCAGCACCTGAAGGTCCCTCTGGCTGACCAGCTGCAGCCCATTCGGTCACAGGTCCCGCTTTGGCGCTCAGATGTGATCACTGTTGCTCATGCTGCCCGAGTGAGCCTGCCTGGCTCGTGGTCAGACCTCAGGGGCCATCAGTCCTCAGCCTGGGCAGGGGGGTGGGGCCGGTTCTCCAGAGAGCAGGCAGAGGCAGCCACTGGGGGCGCTGGAAGGCCCAAGGACTGTCCCGGGCCCCGTTCTCACCAAAGGCTGTGTGCGTGGACCAGGCAAGGCCACCCTTGGATGCATGACCTGGCGTAATGGTCAGTGTCTGGAGCTGGAGCTGGTGCTCTGGATGTGGGGGCGGAGGAGGAGGAGAAGGAGAAGGAGGAGGTCACAGTCAAAACTTGAGGCCTCTGCAGGGATGCTGCACAGCCTCCTTATCCATCCCCTTCCCCTGCTTCATCCTCGGACACTCCTGCTCGGCTACTGAGTACCAAGCACTGTGCCGAGTGCTGGGCATTCAGAGATGATTGCCCTCCGGGAGCTGCCAGCTGGGGGCAGACCCACAGCGTCAGACCCTCTGTGATGAGATGGAGACCGAGACGGAGCCAGCACAAGGGACGGGCCGAGTCGAAAAGGGATTCCAGTTCTAGTGGAGACGGGGACTCATCCTCTCTAGTCTGACAGCCATGGAGGCCTGGGGATCTCTGAAAATGCACGGAGTCCAGAGCCTGGTCTGCAAAGTATTTCTTCTAAGCAACCAGACAGTGTGAGTCCGCACAATGACCAGGGCTGTTAGGAGGATTCGTGCACGGAGCCCTAGCTCCGTGCCGGGCACCGTGCCAGGCTCTGGAGACACAGAGGCAGAGTCGTCTGCCCTCAAGGACCCCAAAGAGCAAGAGAATCAGGCACGATCGGGCAGCGTCCACAGTGTAGTGGGACAGGCGAGTGTGGGTGGGCTCAGGCCACGGGGGGCAGGGGTGGTTGGTCTCCAATCTGATGTTGCAGGAGAGCGTGAGGGGTCAGCGGTGGCTTGGCTTGGGCGGTGGTGTGTCTACTGGGTGCAGGAGGTGGCAGAGGGGAGGGAAGGGGGAGAGACCCCAAAGCACACACCTGCCCAGCATCTCCTGCCTGGGCTGCCTGGCCCCTGGCCGTGGGTGGGGGATGGTTCCTGCCTGTCAGGGTGTGACCAGCATGCTTGCCCAGTGCCTGGCCCACCGTAGGGATCGGGGACTCCTGGTGCCACAGGAGGAGTCCTTCAAGACCTTTCGGTTCCACCTGTTATTATCCAGATATTCATTCAGGTCCGCCTGTGTCTGGACCCTTCCCACAAGGTCATTTCCCCGCCGTAGTGTGGCAATACCAACATCTATGCTCATGCCAAATGAATACCCAAATCTGTATCGGTCTGCTTGGCTGCTGTAACAAAGTGCCACGGGCTGGATCTTAAACAGCAGACACTGCTCTCGAGTTCTGGAGGCCGGATGGAGAGAAAGGTGCCGGCGGGCGGGGCTCCTGGTGGGAACCTCTCCCTTCGCTGGGTCCGCATGTGGGCCCGTCTGGGTGCGAGCACATGCGTGTCTCTAATTGTAAGGACCTTTTATATACAAATAAAGGACACACACCGAAAAACGCACATTCGTACCAGATACTGAAACCACATGCACTGATTCCAGCATTTTGCTGATGTCTAAAATGCCTTCTTTGAAACAGACCCAGTGTGTTGAAACCACCCCTGTCTAGTGCTTGGACACAGGAGCAGGAAGATGGTCTGTCTTGGGAGCAGGTGGCATCCAGGACAGGCTGCGTGTCTTTGGGGGTTGGCTGGGTGTCCTCTGGCGTGCCTTCGGGGTACCTCATATGAGAAGGCTGACTCAGCAGAGGCATGTGACCCAAGCAACTGGAAAAGGCAGGGAAGTAGCCTGGTGCCCCCAGAATCTCAACCGACTTTGTTCCCATTTCCTGGCAAAGCAAACCTCCTAAATGCAGGTCTCGGGGCAGCTATCTGCATGTGGTGGGGTGTTTTACCGAGGGGTTCAGGGTGCTGCCAACAGCCAGGCAGCTGGCTCAGCACTGTCCCCAGGGGGAACGTGCGCCGTCCCAGAACCTGAGTCTGTCGTCTGGCCTCGCTAACTGCTTCCTCGGTCGCATGGGACGCCGGGTTGGGGTGGACAGCTGTCTCCTTGCTGAGAGCCCCGCTCATGTGTTGAAATGTGTCTGTGTTCTTCCAGTTGATTTAACGTCCTTCGTCACACACTTCGAATGGGACATGGCCAAATACCCCGCGAAGCAGCCGCTGCTGAGCGTGGTGGACACTCTAGCAAAGGTAAGAGAGGCCCTCCCTCGGCGGACACTTACTCTCCTGTGCCTGGGGACCTCTGGCCGTCTGATGCAGTTGTACGTAGCATGTGGACCCCGGCAAAGCAGAGAGGGACCTTCTGGGAGGCTGGGTTCTAGCCCTGCTAGGTGACCCTGGGTGGGGTCCCGTCCCCATCTGCCTCCTGCCAGCCCTGAGCCAGTGTGTGTGTGGGGGTCTGAGGTGTGGCCCTCCAGGCCCTAGGCAAGGCCACAGACCTTTGGGTGCCCTGAAAATGGCAAAGACGACCACCTGCCTGCCCTCCACCTCTTCTAGCCCTGTCACCTGGCTGAGTGTCTGTGTCGCACAGGACAGTCCCCTCGACTGGCAGCTCCCTGAGCCTCCAGTGTCTGACCCAGCCCCGTGCCCTTCACTTCCCTGACCTCCAGCTCTTTCCTTTTCAAAAGGTGCTGATGGAGGGGGGCCCACCCTGACCCGCCCTTAGAACATGCCCCCTGCCCCCTGAAGGTCATTGTTCACTTGCCAAAAAGTATCTGTTTTTGTGGAGAGTTTGGCTTGGAAGCCCTCACTCCTGGGACCTGTCCTCCGGGGGTCCCTGTGGTGCCCGTGACAATAGGGAGGCAGTAAACGCCACCCCGTGTCTGCCCTCATGGTAAGCAGCGGTCTCCAGCTTCTGCTTCCCGGATGAAAGCACATGACTCTGGGGACCCTGGGGGTCTCACAGCCGTGCCGACTCCTGTGTGTCCCACTGAGGTGTCCCCTCTCCCTCCACCACACATGGGGCCCTCGTGGGTCAGTCTCCTGCTGGCCTGCGTGGCTGGGAGTGTCAGCCAGGCCAGGAACAAAGCCCTCCTGTTGTCTGTTCAGAGAGGCAGAGCCTCCTGGGCGTGGCCGGGCGGGCAGGTGAAGGACATGGCCTCTGGGACCAGTCCCTGTGACGCCCGGTCATCCCTCCTGCCAGGCTGCTGCCCTGCCTGTGTCTCTGGGAACATGGGCGGGGCCAGAAGGCTCGGGAATATGGGTGGGGATCCATGGGCACCACTTACATCACAGGTCCCAGCCCCTGCCGGACGGTTGGGCAGTGATTCTGGAAGGAAGGCCCTTCAAGGAGGGGCTGCCTGAGCACCTGGCAGGTGTGGTTCCCAGGAGGCTGTGGTGCACCTACCTCCACCACCAACCCAGAGGCGCGTGGCAGTCCGTGGGGCTGGCCGCACCCTGCCCTGCACTGAGGCCGACGGAACATCTCTGAGTCCCTGGGACAGTGCTCGCCGAGAGGCTGTCTCAGGGTCACCAGACCCAGTGATGAAGGCCCTGGAGCACACAGGGACATCGGTGAGGGTAGAGCAGGGTGGGGGAGAGAACCTGGCTTCTCTCTAGCCCAGGGGATCCAAAGAATGACTTTGGCAAGAAAGCAGGGAGGGGAGGAGGGCACGGGTTTGGTGGCTTTCCTGGTGTCTGAAACCATGCTGGGCTTTGATTTCTTTGACTCTCGTGTCCCCCTGGGAGGTAGGTGTCACCTTCCGATTTCAGATGGCAGCGGCTGAGGTTAGGTGCCCGCCCCCGGGCCTGCAGGGTTGAGGCATCACGAGGGAGGGGGTGCAGGTCCGGTGCTCTGTGCGTGGCTCCTCCCGGGCCCTGGGCTGATGGCCCTGCAGGAACCTGCTGAGTCAGCCCAGCAGGGGCTCTGGGTATGGCCCCGCACCCTGCCCCGCACCAGGGGCACCCATGTGGTGCCCGCAGCCCGGATCAGGCCTGTCCCGGGGGGGAGGTCTCATCTGCTACCTAGACACAGCCTCGTCCCTGGGAGAGCCACAGGGAGACAGCAGTCGCTTGTGGTCAGTGTCGAGTAGCGTCTTCTGGGTGACTGAGCAGGTCACAGTCCTGGACCCTCTCAGCAGCTGGGAAGGAGCCCGCCTGCCGCTCGCTAAGTGAAGAGGAGCGAGGACAGGGAGGGCTTCCGTCCACTCCTGGCCCTGCATAAGCCTGTCAGCCTGTCACCTGGTCGGGGACCCGCCAGCCATGCTGTCAGTCTCCACAGGCTAGGACATGCCGTAGCTTCAAAAAAGCCCCCAAATCTCCGTGGCATAACAGTAAAAGGTCTATGCCTCCGCCGATGCGTGTCCACCCGTGGCTGGCAGGGCCTGCTCCTTGTCAACTCACGTGGGGTGCTGGCTACTGGTGTCCCCGCCACCCGAAACCTCTCTGGGTGCTGCCGGGGGCCTGCCCCAGTGGCGGAGGCGGGGCTGGTGTTCGGTTCTGCGGAACTGGGCTGGCTAAGCACTGGCCGCCCCTCTTCGGGAAGCGCGCAGGTGACCCGCCCGCCCTCGGGGAGCTCAGCCTGTGGAGGGACGGACTCCCCTTCGGAATGACCTGCCCCGTGGATCGGAGCTCGCAGTAATTCCGCGACACCGAGCCCACAGAGGGGCAGGAGCTGACGCAGGTCACGCAGCCGGTCAGAGTGGGAACCGGCGTTCAGAGACGGGCCTGGCTGGGGTCAGAGTGGGAACCGGGGTTCAGAGACGGGCCTGGCTGGGGTCAGAGTGGGAACCGGCGTTCAGAGACGGGCCTGGCTGGGGTCAGAGTGGGAACCGGCGTTCAGAGACGGACGGGCCTGGCTGGGGTCAGAGTGGGACCGGTGGTTCAGTTCAGAGATGGGCCTGGCTGGGGTCAGAGTGGGAACCGGCGTTCAGAGACGGACGGGCCTGGCTGGGGTCAGAGTGGGAACCGGGGTTCAGAGACGGACGGGCCTGGCTGGGGTCAGAGTGGGAACCGGGGTTCAGAGATGGGCCTGGCTGGGGTCAGAGTGGGAACCGGCGTTCAGAGACGGACGGGCCTGGCTGGGGTCAGAGTGGGAACCGGGGTTCAGAGACGGGCCTGGCTGGGGTCAGAGTGGGAACCGGCGTTCAGAGACGGACGGGCCTGGCTGGGGTCAGAGTGGGAACCGGCGTTCAGGGACGGGCCTGGCTGGGGTCTGAGTGGGATCCGGGGTTCAGAGACGGGCTGGCTGGGGTCAGAGTGGGACACCGCGTTCAGAGACGGACGGGCCTGGCTGGGGTCAGAGTGGGAACCGGGGTTCAGAGACGGACGGGCCTGGCTGGGGTCAGAGTGGGAACCGGCGTTCAGAGACGGACGGGCCTGGCTGGGGTCAGAGTGGGAACTGGCGTTCAGAGACGGACGGGCCTGGCTGGGGTCAGAGTGGGAACCGGCGTTCAGAGACGGACGGGCCTGGCTGGGGTCAGAGTGGGAACCGGCGTTCAGAGACGGGCCTGGCTGGTCCCAGAGCCCAGGCCCCGCTCGCTGCGTCACTGTTTCCAGACGCCCACTCAGGTTTCGCTGGCTCCTGGTGAAACTGGAACAGTAAGGGTGGCGCAGGATTTCTTTTTCTTTTTATTTATTTGTTTGTTTGTTTGACTTTTTCCTTTAAAAACACAAAACAAACCTTATTTTAGAAATCAAGATCTGTGGCTGGTACCCGTGCCAGTTCCCTGTTATGGAAGATGCTACCAGTGGAGGAAACTGGAGCACGGCATCACGTGTACTATTTTTACAATTGTCTGTAACTCTACGCTCATTGCAAAGTAAGACACTTTTTAAAATTGTAAAAAAAAATTGTAAATCTTACCCCCCAAAATCAAACATATCCAAATGTAAAGCTAAGCACTAAAGGCCTCCCGTGACATCAGCTGCCCCATTCCCGCTCCCTAAAGGCTACTGACATTTAAAAGTTTATGCCTGGCTGGTGTGGCTCGGTGGATGGAGCGTCGTCCCATGGACTGAGAGGTCCCGGTTTGTCCCGCTCACGGCACATGCCTGGGTTGCGGGCTCGACCCCCAGGAGGGGGCGTGCAGGAGGCAGCCGATCCATGTTTCTCTCTCACATCAATGTTTCTATCGCTCCCTTCCTCTCTCTCTAAAAAAAAATTAAAAAAAATAATTTGAAGTGGCTCCTTCCATCCATATAAAAACTGTATCTATTTCAACTCACACGTGTTCATATCCTACAGATCAGTCTTTTTCATAGAATGGTTCTGGAGATGGCCCGGGTCAGCATGTGCTGATCTGGTGCATTTGGTGACGTGGTATCAGTGTTGTCCCCTGTGGCTGGTGGCGAGCCACCGGTGAGGTGCCACTGACCGTGGCCGAGGAGAGAGAGGTGGGAGGAGATGGGCACAGTGTGTCTCAGGAGCCGTGGGGATGGGCCCTGCGCCCGTGTGTGCCAGCACAGGAACCTACCTCGTTCGTGGCACCTGTGACGTGGGTGCCAGACTCTGGAACTGGCCCCAGGTTAGGGACCCTGGAGCAGGCGGATGGGCTTTGTCAGATTCCCGACAGCTCCCACCGCGGAGAGGGGCTCGCCGAGGCCGGGTGGCTGTGCTCAGTGACTGCACACCCGCCGTGGGAGCGTCATCTGTGAACTGGGCACTGGTGGGCGTTTCCTTTCCCTGTTTCCGGCCCTTGGGGAGGACACTCTCGTGCCTGCTGCACCGGAGTCAGGAGAGCTGGGCCTTGGCCACTGCAGGAGGGTGTCTGGGACGTGCTCCTGAGACTTCTGGAACAAGGGGCTCCCCTTAGCATGAGGCTGCTGACCTGCCCCTCCACAGAGCGGGAAGGGGCTGCTTGGGGCGCAGCTGAGCCCGGAGACCTGGCTCTGTCGGGGCTGAGCCATGGCGGGCCCCCTTAGAAGCCAGGATGAGGGCAGCCTGAGACGGGCTTGAAGTCACCCCAGAAAAGCCAGTCAGGCCTTCCCCGCCTCCCAGGGCCTCACTGTAGGGCCGAATGTGCATGTCTCAGACAAGCCATCCCTGGTGGACGGGCAGGGTTCGTTGTCTTTTCTTTAAGGACACCAGGAGCCATTTGTGCACATTTGAAAAGTTTGACCAACTCTTTAAACTCTTCTGCTTCCCAAATAGCAACTGGCACAGATCGAGACGGACCTGAAATCCCGCACGGCCGCCTACAACACTCTCAAGACGAACCTGGAGAATCTGGAGAAGAAATCCCAGTGAGTGTCCGTGTCCCGAGCCGGGCGGGCAGGACCCGGCTGGGCACGTGCACGTGCCGTGCAGATCCTGGGGTGACCAGGGTCAGTGTCTGAGAGCGAGTGAGACAGACAGACAGACAGACAGACAGACACAGAGGTACTTATTCTTAGAGTGTGCTGGGAGGGGAGGACCTGGAGCAGACCAGGGGGAGGAGGAGCCCCGGCAGGGGTTGATGGCACCTCCCTGCCTGTGCCCAGAGGGGAATATGATGGGGAAGGTGCCTCCTTCCCTCTACCCACCCTCTGCCAGGTTATGAAGGACACCGGGGTGCGCCCCAGGATTCTTCTTCCCCTGTGGGAGCTTTACAGAGGCCCCTCCTCCCATAGGCAGCAGGAGGCGGGTGTCAGCGCCTGGCCCTCTGTGAGTGCCAGCAGGCAGCCGGGGCCCGTGGCTAGAGCAGAGCAGCCTCGGGACTCGGGTGCCCTCTGCACCCACGGAAGGACCGCCGTGTGGAGAGGGAGCCGACTGGCTGGCCTCACAGACACATCTCCAAGGTGGTGGGAGGTGCCCGGAGAACAGCATGAGGCCAGTGTCAGAACGCCCGCAGCTGTCCTGTGAGTGAGTGAGCTCCCTGTTGTTGGAGGCATGTAAGAAGAAGCTGTGTGAGCTCCCGCTGGGGAGGCTGCGAGGTGATGACGAATAGGGCTAAGCTGGCACAGACAGTCCTTCCAGGCTCCCTAGTTTCTGGTTTGGTTCTGTTGCTGGTTCTGTGAAGATACTCTAGAGATAAGAAGTGGCTGGGGGGGGGGGGAGCTCAGAACCAGCTGCCCCCTCAGATGGCCATCCCCTGATTGGCTCACCACTGTGAGCCAAGAAAAAGTCACTAGGGACGTCCCTCCTACTTCCTCTTCTCTCTCCTGCTGGCCCCCGGGCCTGTTGTTACTTTTGAGCACAGCAAACAGTACACTTGTGGGAAATGCGAACCCGAGGGGGAGCTGCACCGCCACCCGGAACCGTCCTCGGTTGCCTGACTCGGTGTCAGCACTACGTGGGCACCAGCAGAGTTGCCCAACCCGGGGGGAGCCACCAGAGGGTAGAGAGCCCGGCGTAGATCCGTGGCGGGTTTTTTTCTTTTTTTTTTATCCTCACCCGAGGATATTTTTCCATTTTTTGTACAGATAGAGCGGGAGGGAGAGAGAGGAAGAGAGAGAGAAACATCGACGTGAAGGGACACATCGAGTGGCTGCCACCCGCACGACCAACCAGGGCCGGGGACAAACTGCAACCGAGGTACATGCCCTTAGCGGGAACTGAACCCGGGTCTCTCCGGACCGCAGGCCGACGCTCTAACCGCTGAGCCAAACCGGCCAGGGCTCCCTTGCGGTTTTGACCAGTGCGCCCAGGGGCCCTTCGCCTGCCACTCACACCCCAACTGTAGACCTAAGAGTGGTCTGGTCCAACCTCCTCAGCCAGCCGTAAGGAGGTTCACTCGCCAACACACAGTGACACCGAGATCGACCTGTTGACACACACTCCGAGGGAGGGCACGGAGGGTGGCGAGGGTGGGGCCGGCACTGCCTCCCTCTCGTGACTCTTTTCTTCATCTCGTAAGCGTCTATGAAGCACCTGCTATAAGCACTAGACTCAGGCCTTACGCTAGATCCTAAAGATAAAGGCCGGAATAATGTAGAACTTCTGCCCTTGGAGGGCTCACAATCATCCCTTCCGCAAGTATTTAGGGAAAGTCTCCGTTGTGCAGGGGTACAGGTGTGAACAAGGCAGGTAAGCCTGGCTGTAAGGAAACCTGGGGCCTTCGGGGCGGGACCCTCAGGGACTTGCCGGCGACAGTGTAGGAGGCCGAAGAGGGACGTGCAGGCTCCCTGGGCAGGCCGGAGAGCCTGTGGGATGGCATTTCACCTAAAGCTTTGGCCTCAGCTAAGCGCTCGAGAGCCATTTATTTGGGAAGCATTGCACGCCAATCGACCTGCTAGCTAACAACACGGCCTAAGTGCAGATGGTACGCGCAGTCTCCTTAGCTGGTCTTGGCCCATTTGCTGTAGCGGCCTTGATCCATGTGCTAAAAATACCATGACCTGGATGCAGACCGGGTTCCACTGGGCACATAGAAAGCTATTTCGGGTGAGTGTCCCCTGGCTGCGGGGCCTGGGAGGCGTGCAAAGTGAACCGGAGCTCTCCCCGGGCCGGTCTCTGCCCAGGACAGCCCGGGCAGCTTCGTGAGCTGGCCACTGTATTGACACTTGAGTAACGTGAGCCCCCAGTGGTCCCCTCCCCGCAGCAGTGACGGCACCAGGGCAGCACAGGTGTCCGAGGCGTTGGAATTAGCAGCCCCTCGGGTGACTGGTGATAGCACCTGAGGCCCTGCCCCCTCCAGAGCTGGGGGCACACTGAGCCCAGGTCCCTGCCCTCCCAGGGAACACCCTGAGCTGGTCCCGCCCCCGTGTGCTGTGGGTGTGCGGGGTCCGAGCCGCCTGCAGGTGCCTGTCTGCTGATCCCACCCACTTTGTCCCACATGGATGCAGGGGGAACCTCTTCACTCGGACACTTAGCGACATTGTGAACAAAGAAGACTTTGTGCTGGATTCCGAGTATCTGGTCACACTTTTGGTCATCGTCCCCAAGTAAGTGGGCAGGGAAGGTGTGCATTTGGGGTCTCAACCATCATGAAAGGAGACTGGCCCTGCCCAACAGAGAGGAGGAGGAGTCACCCACACCGGGTCCTAGGCCCTGGGTGAGGCTGGGTGGTGGTAGCGGGCAGGGCGATGCTGCTGCCCCTGAGCACCTGCTGGTGCCAGATGCCAGCAAGCGTACGGGGTGGCTGTGGGCAGTTGTGCCCCAGGCCACACTGGGCCAGGATTACGAAGATCAGGTGTTCAGAGTCTCACGGGGAGGCTAGGCCCAGGGTGGGGCTGGGTAGGGGGCTCCCAGAGCCCATGCAGGGCCTCAGAGGTTTGGGGCTCTCGGTCCTGCTCACCTCCGTCCCTTGGGAAAAGGGGTCTGCAGCTTCCTGAACATTCAGGACACCCCACAGCCTTTTCTGCAGAAATACTGAACTGCTCTGTGTTCTCGCAGACCAAACTACGCACAATGGCAAAAAACCTACGAATCTCTCTCGGACATGGTAGTCCCTCGGTCAACCAAGTAAGTGAGACCCCAGCTTGACTCCGGGGTCCCTGGGAAGCATGTGTGGGTGCTCTGGGGCACGTAACCACCAAACACGTGTGCCTGCCCCTCGACCCGGAGTTCCTTCACAGCCCTGCACCCAGCCGCATGCCAGACTCCCTCCATCTTTTGGAACCTCCCTGCCTTGCCCTCTCTTCCGGGAAGCCCTCCCTGGCTACCCTCCCTGGCTGCACTCTGCTCTGCCTTGTCAGCTCTGTGTGGTTTCTTCCCCAACCTGAGGATCAAGCAAGGGCCTGGCCAGGATGGCATAGAGTGGGGGAGGGTGGAAACCATCTCAGCGTGTGGCCTGCTGGGGTCAGAGCAGGAGTGGCCAGTGAGGACTGGGTAAGTGACAGAAGAAGGGGTAAAAGAATATATTCATCCTGGGAACACCAGCTGGGAAAGCCCGTGATGTCGGGCTGCGTGCAGCCGCTCGGGGAGGTCTCCCTACGTGATGCTGAGCCAGCCGCAGAAGGTCCACAGCAGGCGGCCGTTTGTTTACGTGCTAAAAGCGGACAAACTAAACCTCACGTGACTTGGGCCCAGTAGAACCATGGGGGTGTTTGTGGATAGGAAATGCCAGGCTCAGCACAGCGGTGACCCCGGGGGTAGAGCAGAATGCCGCGAGGGTGGGGTTTCTGCCAGAGGAAAATGTATATCTTAAGCTGAGTGGCAGATTCATAGGTATTTGCTGTTCTCTGTGCCTTTTTGTACGTCTGGAAGAACTTGTCATTTTAAAGAATGTGACAGTGAGTCCCATTCATCTGCCTCCCAGCGCACGAGCTCAGCCTGGGGACAGCCCTGCCCACTCCCACGCCAGTCCGGTGGCTGGAGGGCACCTGCCAGGGGCTGGTTCTGCGGGGTCACAGATTCAGGAGGCGCAGGGGACAGGACAAGCACAGCCTGAGGTCCCACGGGAGGCTAGAGACAGGAGCCAGGGCAGCGTGCCTGCAGGGGCAGGGGGCACAGACAGGCAGAGGGGCTGACCCTCGCAGCTGGCCTGCTTGGCAGGAGCGTCCCCTGCTCTCCAGTGCTGCCTCTCCATGGGGATACCGGCTGGGGGGCCTTGGCCTCAGACCACACCCCCTGGCCTCGTGCTGTCAGAGGGCCCCTGAGGACAGAGATGACTCTGGAAAGGTCTCTGCAGCCTGGGGTCAGCATCTGTGGGTGTGAGTTCAGGAACCAGGAACGGCCCAGCCGATGTGGCTCAGTGGCTGAGCGTCGACCCTGCACCAAGAGGTCACCGGTTCGATTCCTGGTCAGGGCACATGCCCAGGTTGTGGGCCCGATCCCCAGTGGGGGGCATGCAGGAGGTGGCTAATCGATGTTCTCTCTCATCGATGTTTCTATCTCTCTCTCCCTCTCCCTTCCTCTCTCTCTAAAATCAATAAATGAAAAAAAAAAAAAAAAAAAAAGAGAAACAGGAAAGGGCCCCGTCAGCATGCTCCTCAAGCTCTGCCTGGGTCCGAGGACTCCCATTATCGGGTCATCTGGCCAGCGGGACCCAAAGAGGCTTAGATCGCTGGGCCGACCGACCCATGCCTTTGGGGACAGCAGCCACCGTGGTTTTGTGTTGAGGTGTGCCGGGAGGCTGTGTCTAATTAGAACGCCGTGACATTGGATGTGACATGGCCATTGTGAGGTGGTTTCCACCAACTGACACTCCACCCCGCTTCCCTGTAGCCACAGCATGTCGGCGCCAGGGGCACCTGGGCGCACACGAGGTGACCAGGACCCAGGAGTAGCTTGATCTCAGGCATTTTATGAACAGGAGCCAGACCCCCGATCCCTGCCCAGCTAGGCTCCAGTCCCTCCCTCCCCTCGAGAGCCTGTGTTTGGATGGCATGAAGGCCCCTGGGACAGCCTGAGGCCGAGTGAAAGGGACAGGGAGGAAGGGGAGTAGCAGGCAGCCGCGGCCACAGAGCCAAGAGCTGGGAAGTGGGAGGGATGCCCTGGTCCCCCGGCCTCCGTGCTGTCAGGACCCTTGGGCATAGGCCACCGGGCGGAGGGGGACAGCAGCCACCGGTAGTGACCGCCTCCCATGGGAGAGGACAGGCCCCTTCCGCCCAGCTCCAGCGGGCAGACACTTCTCTCCACCAGACTGATCACCGAGGACAAAGAGGGCGGCCTCTTCACTGTGACTCTGTTTCGGAAAGTGATCGACGATTTCAAAACCAAAGCCAGAGAAAACAAGTAAGCGCCTGGGTGGGCTTCTTCGGGGTGTCCGCTCCCACTGGAAGCTTCGCAGTGAAAGCCTCTCACTTGCTGCTTTAAGGTTCACTGTCCGTGAATTTTACTATGACGAAAAAGAAATCGAAAGGGAACGGGAAGAGATGACCAGATTGCTGTCTGATAAGAAGCAACAATACGTGAGTACCTGCCGTAGGTCAGTGGGTTGTCAGGCGAGGTGGGGACACAGGGGCTCTGCCAGGTCCCCACCTCTCAACTCCGCTGTCCCCAGGCCCCTGGGCACACGCCCCCCGGGAACATGGGCTCTCCGGGGAAAGCCGGAGCAGAGTCTCAGGTGAGGTGACAAGTAACTGTGGAGCTGGTGCCTGAGCCGTGGACCGGGCACTGGGTGCCTTCCAAGACAGGTCTCACCAAGTCTTGGCACTGCCTTCCCTGGGGGCACTGGGCTCATTGTGTTGATGAGAAATCCAGGCTCTCGGGTTAGTGAGCCCTGGCCCGGGGCAGAAGAGCCCGGAGGTCCAGCAGGGCAGGAGGCTCTAGGCAGGGCCACCGCCTCCGAGAGAGGCCCACGGTCGCACTGCTGTCCTTGGCAGAGTGACTTCCAGGTGCGATGTGACGGCCTCCGTCCCTGCGCTGTATTTACCTTTGCTCTGCTCTTAGCAGAGTGGGTGCTTGTCCTTGAGACTTCCTTCCGACGGCAGCCACTCAGAAGCGTCTCGTGTGTGGGGGCAGCCGCGCCGCAGAGGGAGCGGACCAGGCTTTCGTCTTGAAAGGGGAGTCACTCCCCTGCTCTGTGAAATGGGCGCATTCCCGGCGTGGCGCCCTCTGGCTGCAGAGCGGGGCTAAGCCGCGTGGCCCTGTGGGGTAGTGTTCCTGTCCCCTGCCCCAGGCCCAGCAGGGAGGGCTCAGGGAGCACCCCCGTAGTGCAGGGAGGAAGAATGGTCACCTGAACGCCAGGTCTCGGGGAATCGGTGTGTAAACACGGCTGGGGGCGTGCCTGGGTGCACAGCAAGAAGTGTTCTCCTGCGGCCGAGTGTTTGCCCTACGCCTTCCCCGCCTCGGGCACGGGCCTCTGCACATCCGGCCTGAGCTCTCCAGGTCAATGGTCTTCAGAGGGCTCCAGACAAGCCGCCCCTCAGGGTGAGCACCAGCCACGGGGCCCCCGAAATGGGGTTCTTAGAGCCCCGCTGGACTGGCACATCCTCTTAGAGAGGCAATGGGAACTGATCATATAAAAGTGCCCCAAGCATAAATACGTGCACACACGCATGTGTACAGACGTGTGCACCGGAGGAACGCACACACTTCTCAGGTCCTCTGAGTCAGAGCCCTGGGCCCCGAGGCTCAGACTCGTGTGCCCAGGCAAGAAAGGTGCTCACCACCAGAGCTGAAACCCAAAAGGTTCCCTTCTGAACGTCAGCCCTGACACCTGGGAACACCCCCGAGGTCTCTTTAGTGACCCCCAGATCCCTGCCGTGTGTCTGGATGGGAGCCAGATAATGGCAGCTTCCAACCTGTCCAGGAGGCAGGCCCTGCCCGGAGGACAGGTGGTCAGGTCCTCTGGCACCCACCTGTGCGCTGGCATAGACCCCCCGAGGACCAAGGTGACACATGAGCCCGACACCTGCCACCTGGGTCTCAGGTTGCCAGCCGGTGCTTTTTTACACGGTGTAGACTTCTGCGTCCCCCCACGCTGCCCCGGGAGCCCTGCCAGGATCTCGGGGGGGTGGGGTGGAAGGAGACACATGAACTCAGAAACATTCAGTCCCTCTCGAGGCTCTCGCTGTGTGCCAGTGAGCAGGGGATAGCTGAGGTCAGCCCCACCCCGGCCTCTCGAGACTCTCTTACCCCTTGGGCTGTTTGGAGGTGGGCATGACCAGCGCCCTGTGCCTCTTTGGTTCTTGTCAGTCAGAAGGGACAGGCTGGGTCCCGGATGTTCAGTTCCCTTTGAGATCACGGGGTGGGGTTTTCCGGAGCTTTCCACCTGTTGAGAGAAAGGCGTGAAAGGGTGAGGTGTCCGAAAGGCGTGCCTGACTGGCTTCCTGCAGGACCCTGACCGCCAAGGAGGCTGCCACAGGCTGGACTCAGTGGAGCCACCTTGACCGAGGCCACACAGGCCGAGTCTTTACCACTGACACCTCCTGGAGCTGCCCCTGTCCTTGCCTTCCTGACTCAGGCCCAGGGGTGTGGAACCGGCCGCTGCCAGCGATCGGCCCTTTCCCTGGAATAGAACCAAACAAAGACCGTCCCAGCCCCGGGCCCGTCACCCCCCACACCTCCCGTCCGAGGGCACAAGCCCCGAGGGTGGGCTGGCATCGGCTTGCCTTCCCCCCCAGGCGATGGGGCTACTTCTGTGTTTCTGATGCATGTTTCCTGAAAGATTAATAAATCATTTCTGTGCCTTTAGCAAACCTCCTGTGTTGCTCTTAAAAAGGGATCGTCCACCTTCCCGGACCACAAGGTTACGGTAACCCCGCTAGGTAACCCTGCTAGGCCCGCTGCGGGGCACACCGACAGAGAGAGGGAGAGTGAGGGCGAGGGTGAGGTAAGCAACCCCGGGAGCCCGGGTTCCCTGGCTCGCATGTCCTCGCCCGCGCAGGTGTCTTCTGGAAACAAATCCTTGCCTCTCTGTTACCTGATATGGCTTTTGAGGGCTTCTCTTCAAGGAGCCCAGAATGGTGCCTTCTTCCTAATCTGTAGGGCTTCTTTGGGGCTGATCCTGCCCCCCAACAATGGATGGTGCTTATGGGCCAAGGGGCCTCTGCTCTGCCTGGAGGCGGCTGGAGCTGGTGACGGGGCGGGCCCAGCTGGGGGAGGGGTGGCCAGGCAGCCCTGCTGTCCTGCCCGGGCTGGACCCACCCCTGACCTTTGTGGGCAGTTGGAGGTATCAGGTGGGAGCTCAGAGCCTTGGCTGCAAGACTCTGAACTCCCCCAGATGACATTAGTGACGGCTGCCGTGCCCCGAGGGGTTGTGGTCACTGAGGTGGGGCTGGGAGGAGCCCCCTGAACACGGCAGCTGGTGGGTGATGCGGGGACCGGGCCAGAGCCTTCCAAGGTGGACCCCTCGGCAGCACAGTGTCAGGTGGAAGCCTGCCAGCTGCCCACTGAAAGCCCTGAGGTCAGGGGCTGCCCAGCGCCCCGCTGCCCGGTAGCTGGCCTGCTGAGCTTCCCCGGCTCAGGCACCCTGGAGAACGTGGTCCTGGGCCTTGCGCAGGCCTGTTGGACCGACTCGCTGCTTCTGCTGGACACTGGGCATTTCTTCTAAGCTGAGGGCTTGCTCTGTCAGACCTGTGCCCTTTCCTGGCTTGGTGTCGGGCGGAGTGGCCAGGAGGGGTCACGACTCTCCTGTCTCTGCAGGGTCCCCTACTGCGCTGGCTCAAGGTGAACTTCAGCGAAGCCTTCATCGCCTGGGTCCACATCAAGGCGCTCAGAGTGTTCGTGGAGTCTGTGCTCAGGTGGGTGGAGGGGTGCCCGCCCGGGCTGCCTGTGGCGGGGCGGCCGGAGGGAGCCAGCTCTGGGGCCACCGGGCTGCCCGTCCTCGTTTCAGCCCCTACAGCCTCCATAGGGAGGGCATCTCCCTCTGCTCCTCCTGGTCTTGGCCAGGCTGTCCCGAATCCAGTTCCCTTACCTCAGCCTTGAGGGCCCTCTGCCTGGAGCTCTGTCCCTTTCCTGCCAGGATTGGGGCAGGTGCCTCCTCCAATCTGCCCCACCTCACAGGTGCCAGGGCCCAGGGACCCCTGGAGGAAACCCCAGCAACTCGTATTCACCTCCGAGGCCCAACCCCAAAGCACCAGGAAAGAAAACCCAACCCTAACCAAACCCTAACCCTAACCCTAACCCAACCCTAACCCAACCTTAACCCAACACTAACCCTTACCCTAACCCAACGCTAACCCTAACCCTAACCCAACACTAACCCTTACCCTAACCCAACCCTAACCCTAAACCTAACCAAACCCTAACCCTAACCCTAACCCATCCCTAACCCAACCCTACCCTAACCCTAACCCTAACCCAACCCGAACCCTAACCCTAATCCTAACCCTAACCAAACCCTAACCCTAACCCTAAACCAACCCTAACCCTAACCCTAACCCAACCCTAACCCAACCTTAACCCAACACTAACCCTAACCCTAACCCAACCCTAACCCTAACCCAACCCTAACCCAACCCTAACCCTACCCTAACCCAACCAAAACCCAACCTTAACCCAACACTAACCCTAACCCTAACCCAACCCTAACCCTAACCCAACCCTAACCCTAACCCTAACCCAACCCTAACCCTAACCCTAACCCAACCCTAACCCAACCTTAACCCAACACTAACCCTAAACCTAACCCAACCCTAACCCTAACCAAACCCTAACCCTAACCCTAACCCAACCCTAACCCTAACCCAACCCTAACCCAACCTTAACCCAAGACTAACCCTAACCCTAACCCAACCCTAACCCTAACCCTAACCCAACCCTAACCCAACACTAACCCTAACCCTAACCCAACCTTAACCCAACACTAACCCTAACCCTAACCCAACCCTAACCCAACCCTAACCTAACCCTAACCCTAACCCAAACCCAAACCCAACCCAAACCCAACCCAAACCCAACCCAAACCTAACCCAAACCCAACCCAAACCTAGCCCCAAACATAGCCCAAACCTAACCCAAACCTAACCCAACCCTAACCCAAACCGCCGCACCAAAGCTTATTTTACCTTTACTATTTTTTAACAAAAGCAAAGTAGGTTCACTGTGGACACTTTGGAAACTGTAGATAAGCATAAATAATGCATAAAAATCACCTGAAACTTGAGCACCGAGAGAAAACACTGCTAACGTGCTGGTGTGTGTACTCCTTCAGATTTTTGGTTTTTGGCTTTTTAAATTTACAGATGTGCTTCTTTTTTTTTTTTAATCCTCACCTGAGGATGTTTTTCCATTTATTTTCAGAGTGGGAGGGAGACGGAAGGAGTGGGAGAGAGAGAGAGAGAGAGAGAGAGAGAGAAACATCGATATGAGAGAGACACATCCACGGGCTGCCTCCCACACGACCCCGGCCAGGGCTGAGGGCCAAACTGCAACCGAGGTACATGACCTTGACGGAATCGAACCCACGACTCTTTGGTCTGTGGGCCAATGCTCTGAATCACAGACAAACCAGCCAGGGCAAACACTTCTTACTAAATTTTACAAAAATGGAATCAAGCAGGAAGTATATATATTTTGAAGCCTGCTTTTCTGCATGCTTTGAACACGTCCCGTGTCGTGAACACGTCCCGTGTCGTGAACACGTGGCTGGCTGCACCCTGCTTCCGGGAGCTGCCCCTGCTCTGGCCAGCAGCTCAGAGGCTCCTGCAGCCCTTGCACCCTCTCTGGTGGTGCCCCTGCCCCTTCCCCCCTGCAGGGTCTCCTCCCAGCCACCCACTTGGCCAGCCAGCCCTCCTCCCGACACAGATTTCTGGACGGGTAGCTCGTCTTCCCTCCCAACCCCTTCCTCCAGCTTCCGTTTCTGCCAGTGGCCCCCTTGGACACCTCTGCTCCCCGTCCTCACATCCTGCCCCGCTGCCTCCACCCCCGCCCCCGCCCCTGCTGAGCCTGCCTCCACTTTCCCCTTCGGCTGTCTCCCACCTCAGCTGGCCGGGCTGTTGCCACGGGCTCCTACTTGGTTCTCTGCCTCCAGTTCTCCCTTCACGTGGCTGCCAACGTGGTTTAGTCCAAGTGCAGATCGGATCTGACGGAGGCTCCGCGTCCTCCCACCCCCGCCTCAGAGGCTGCAATGACAAGGGTTTCACTGCTGGGTTGACAGGTGTTTTAGCGTCTCTGTGTAGATGGGCCCGTCTGGAAGATGTGTCCCGAGTGCAGTTGGAGTGACATGAACACTGGTAGAGAAGGTCACGTTCATAAGTCCGTGCTGTAGGAAGAGTCCTTCATGGTCTCCCTGCCCCTACAAGACTGTGTATCCCCCAAACAGGATCAGTTATACCTAACACTCTGCAAGCTGCTTTTTCCATCTGCTTTGTATGTGTAGAGCTACTTGATCCGTTTAGTGCCTGCTGCTGGGTCTTCTCTCAATGACGCTTTCCTACTCGGAGCGCAGCGGGGGTGGGCGGAGCCGCCTCTGAGCCCAGTCGGACAGAGTAGATGCTAAATGTGGTAGAGTGACATCAGAGCGAGGATGTGCTAGTTCATCTGGGTGAAGTGGGCCCTGCGAGGGGGCTGTGGCGGGACGGCTGAAGGGGGCCAGGGAGCTGGATCATTTGCCCGGATCTGGGGCGAGGTCTTGGTGGGAAGACATCAGGGAATCATTGATGATTGTGTGTGGATGAGCTCACCTATGGAGTCACAGAGGGAAGGTGCTGAAGGGACCCCTCAGGGACCCCCAGCATTTCAGGAAGGCAGGGGCAGGAGAGTGCTTGGTGTCCACGGAGTGGAAGGTTAAGGTTCTACATGTTCCAGATGTGAGAAGCTTGTCTGATGATGGATGATGATTGACAGGTCACTGGATACTGAAGTTTGGAACAAGAATTCCAGGGAGTTGAGGAGATTCATATTTGGAACAGGGCACGATGGTGCTCTGCTCCAATGCTCAGGATGGGGTGGAACGAGGGGCCCGTGGCTTGGCTGGAGTGGAAGCAATTAGACAGCTCACGTTCACTTCATCTTTCTGCAGCTCAGCTAAGTCTGTTTCAGGGAACACTAACCGCACCATCAGCAGCCAGACGTGAGGACTGGGAGAGTTTGGGAGCCAGGAGATAACTTGTGGACCTTGGGAAATAAAAACGAAGTCCTATTAACAGACTTTGGCCCCACAAATCATTTGCATGTCAGGCCTGCTGTCCTAGCTGGTCGGGGGACAGGGACGTGCAGGTGATGAGTATGAACATCGGAACATTTGCTCGCTGACAGTGTATTTTACAAACGTTGGCAATCACCTAGTGCACGTTTATTATTTATACAGAACTCAATTCTTTGGATGACACCGCAGAAATGGCTGCCAGGCAAGCGATTCTAAATGTACTCAGGCATACAAAGTCCACTTAAAATCTTTTGTCCACCCAAAAGCTTGGCAAAAGGAATCAACAAGCTTGATAAACCAGATTTCTTTTGCTGCTTGCTCCTTTAGTGGAGAAAAACCAGCCCAGCTGGTGCTTAGGCCAATGTTTTGGGTCAGCACGGTCAGTCCAGTGGCCTCCGTCCGCCCCAAGCACTCACCACCTAACAACCACAGGCGCTGCCGTGATCTCTCGGCTCCAGGCAAGAACGATCACTCCAGAAGCAGGTTCAAGTTCTAGAGACTTTTCTTTCCAGAGGATCTAATTATTCATTCCTTCCGACCCTAGACATTTTGCTCAACCGTTTTATTTTCTGGGGCTCTGTTGGTGTCAGCTTTGCATTATTAGAACCTACTTTCTCGTCCCGCTCACTGTGCCCACGTGCCCTTGGAGTAACTGACACATTTCTGTCTGAGAAGGTACGGGCTCCCGGTGAATTTTCAGGCTGTGCTCCTCCAGCCTCATAAGAAGTCATCCACCAAGCGTTTGAGAGAAGTTCTGAACTCCGTCTTCAGACATCTGGATGAAGTAGCAGCTGCAAGTATATTGGATGTGGGTATCTGACCCGGAAATGCTTTTCTATGGTCAGGGTCAGCCCCTCCACACGGGACATACGTTCCCAAATGGTATTTGCCAGACTATCGTGAAAATCTACATTTCACAAAGATGGAAGTATAAGAGGCTGCATAGTGTGTGTGTGTGTGTGTGTTGGTGGTGGTGGGACTGTGCAGGGCAGAACACATGGCCAATGTCTAGAGAGCTTCCTCAAAAATATAAAGACGCCCTGGACTGTTTTGCACAGTGGTTAGAGCATCGGCCCACAGACTGAAAAATCACAGGTTTGATCCCAGTCGAGGGCGTGTATCTGGGTTGCAGGTTTAAAAAAAAATCAATGGGAAGGTATCCTCAGGTGAAGATTAAAAATGTGTGTGTGTGTGTATAAAAAAAGATAAAACCAGGACCAAGTCTGTGCACCTAGAACATTACCGTGTCTTCTGCTGCAGGCATCTGTGGAGATCCCTGGATTGCAACTCAGTAACCAAGACTACTTTCCTTACGTCTACTTCCACATCGACCTCAGTCTTCTGGACTAAAACACGGAGCAGGCAGCACGGCCTTCCGGTCCATGCATGCAGACTGGACGACTACACAAGCTTTCCCTTGGCCCCAACAGTTCAAGTCTCCTACAGAACTTAGATTTTTAGAGAAATTGCTCACAAAAGTTCATTACAGTTGTATTTATTTTTTGTAAGTTACAATAAAGAAATGCTCAGTCCTTCCAATTGGCTCTTCACTTATTTCCTAACATAATTCAAACTTCATTTTTCTGAACGTTTCACGTGAATGGGGCCTGCCTATCAATTGGTCCCTGCTGCTGTATTGTCGTAACACTTCGTGAGGGCGCAGCAGTGTCGCTGACCACCTCGGCTACCTGCGAAAGCAGCTACACTCGGTCACTGCTGAGGGCCCGGACACGGCAGTGGGCAGGAATGCAGTTCTCAATTGCTGACCCCTTGTATTTCATCCTCCTACATAAACTCGCTTTCCACGTCATTCACAGATGGAACTCGGCCTTGCAGGACACATGTAGAATCTGTGTGGCGGGCATCCAGGTGGCATCATCTGAATCACCAGTTCTCAGAATGGAAAGACATCAGGGTCAGACCTTCATCATCGTATTAATTCACTGGCTAAACAGAAGACTCTGAATTTATGATGTGGACACTAATTTCATACATTTGTTGGCATTGTCCAAAATATTGTTTTATTCTTTAATGGAAAAAGCCATTAATATTCAAATGAAAGAATCACATTAAAAAACATAGAAACAGCCTCCAAGAACACCCAAGCAGCAGTCAGAGGGAGGGGAAAGTGTTTCAACAGCCCATCCGTTTTCTTCAAAATATTACTTGACAGAATACCACCCAATTCACTGGCTACAATTCATAGAATTTTTAATTGTTTTCTTGAGATGCAAAAGTTCATTGTTGCAGTGTTTTCAAATGACCAATCAAGTGCTATTTCTTGGTTAGAAAGGCCACTGGTAGATTCATCTGGTCGCACAGAGTGTTTCTTCACTGCTGGAAAATCTGCTCCCAAGAAAAGGAAACTGACGCCTGTGCGGACCTCACAACTCATCTTTCCCCAGGTCGTCCAGCTCCACGTCGCTGAGATCGATGTCGTCTTCCACAGGAAGCTGCAAGACAGAACCACCGTTAGGCCTCTCGCGGAGGCAGGCACGGGGACCCTGAAAGCCTCCTCTTAGGGGAGGAAATTAATTTCTCAAAACCAGCTCCTGCCCAGTCCAGCCTACTGCACGGACGTCTACACAGCAGAGGACAGATGACACATGCTTTCACTGACAGCTCTTTAGCTTGTCCTTCGAGGAGGATGGGGCAGAACTGTACCAGAATGATTTCTCATTTCAAAGCTGTAATTGTACATTTCTGTAAGGCACAGTAAATGAACTCAAGGTTAAATGTGCATTTTGAGGTGATAATCAGAAAAGCAACCTCATCACTGACATTTATCTTGGTTGTCTCCACTGAGAGTATCAACTGCCATGTAGCCCTAGTAACAGGGAGTACGGGACGAAAGGTCTCGAGAGAAAGCACCTCCCAGAGGCCCAGGGGTGGTGCTGGTTCCGGTGCCGCGCCTAGGCTGTTCCGATGGGAAGGATTCACCTTACAGCAGCGAAGGTGCACAGGGACCGGGAAGGTGCAGAGGGAAGAGGAGCCCCGCCACGAGTCCGCCCAGGCACTCACCTCGCCGTCCTTGCCGTCCCAAGGCTCCTGCGTGCTGATGGCTGGGAAAGTCCCGCCTCCAACAGGCGCGGTGGATCCTCGCCCAAAGGAGAGCTCCCTTAGGGGAAAAGAGCAAACCGAGCACGGCGTCAGCGCACGTGGAGAAACACTGCAGAAGAGCGTTTGTCTGCCGTGTTTACTCAGAGGGTTCCCCACACACATCCTGAAGATACCCGGAGCAGCCTACCTTCTTGACCAGGGACAACAGTATCGCCAAGCAAGAAATTCCTGAGGCCTCAGCATCAGATAAAGCCAGTTACTATCAATAATTAAAATATAAAATTGCAATATGTTTTGCTAAGATACAAACTATGTGAAAACTATCACAGCTGAGTGTAAGACCACAGAGAGGCGCTCGGAAAGCTGGTATGTGAAACTACAATCCCACCCTTTCCCGAGTTCTACACAGCGGGCAGAGGCACTGGCGTGAACAGAGCAGACTCCTCGGCCTCTGGTGGCCTCCAGGTGGTGGGCGCTCTCCCCTCACCGCTCAAGCTTCAGGGCAGACAAGAGTCACCCCGCGGAGCAGCATGTTGGGGTGTGCCTTTGGCAGGGATAAAAAACACTGCACTGGAAAGATGCGGAGGCAGCCACGGGCCTGAAAACAAGGCTTCGTCAAAGAAGCTGCCAAATATCCTCTGGTGAAGTGTGCTTAGAAATGGGTAAGAGGAAAAAACCCAAACAGGATATTAAGTTTCCTCTAGGTGTTTGACAATAGTTAACTGCATGGAGGGAAAACTGGCAAATGCTACTTCGCATTTTTTACAGAGTACATCAACGGTTCTTAAATGAGGGGCATTTGGCAATGTAGGGTTGGGGGTTTGGTGGATGAACAAAATGCTAGCCAAGGATCAAAGTATTCATGTGAATAGATAAGGTATGCATGACGTCCCTGATCATCCAAGTATGCGTGATAGGGGTAGAATGTATAGTGTGCATGAGAACAGATAAGGTATATATGTTGGGTTTGGAAAACCTGCCCTGAAAGCCCCAATGGGTTTATCGCCCAAGTGTGAATGTGCTTGTTATGTATCTCCCCTAAGTGAGACAGCTGGAAGAGGAAGTATGCTGGGCTTGGCTGTGAGGTCAGCAGAGACATGATCTCAAGAACTTAATTACCTAAAACACCATGTAACCCAGGCAATCACTTTGCAAATAAATTGGGCTGCATCCAGAGATCTTGAGCATTCTGCTCCCTTGCAATGCTCCCCCTCACTCCAAGCTATGTCTGCTCGTAGTTCATTGCACTGCGATGACCCCTGGTAGGCCAAGAGTCGGCAGTCTAGAGACATTTCGAACTGTCACAACCTATGTGTGTGTGTGTGTGGGGGGGGGGATCTACTGTCTAGGGAGTAAAGGCTAGGGCTGCTGCTGAACATCCTACAATGGACAGAACAAAACAAGAACTATCTGGTTCAAAATGTCAAGAGTGAAAAGGTTGAGAAACCTTGATGTACATGTATCAGTTACAGTCAGAAAACAGGGTGAACAAGCTCTAAAAATCCACGTCAATACCACTCACTGAACAACTGTTACTGTAACAGGACAGAATGCTGACCTCCTACCGGATGGATGCGTAGGCAGAATAAAGACGGATACAGCAGAGTAAGCCAGACCTGTGTCTCACGCAGTCTAACTAAAATCTGCACTAGAATGGTATGACTTACTAGGAACGGCCCAGGCCAACCCAAGCTCTGGCTTCTGCAGGAAATACCAACCCATGCGAACAATACAAAGAAAACCAGAGGTTCAACGTCTTATAATCAGGTTATTTACCATCTCTGAACATCAGCCTCATCAATCAAATATGGAGATGAATCTGCTATTGGACACTTAGTGGACGGGGATGGCAGTCAAACACCTCCCCCAAGCCAGCTTCTTACTTAATGTGGGCGGTGAGAGCAGAGAGCTGAATGACAAGATGCCAAACCTCCTTCGAATAAAACAAAATTCTGAGGGAACAGGCTTCAGACAGAATTCAATTGTTTTAAAAACAAATATTTTTAAGTAGCCAATTCACACTCCTCCCCTCTGCCCCTGTTGTTTTTCTTCACCTAATTAAAGGAACTGGAGAACCTGGCTGCTGCTTTCAAAGTGGACACGGACACGACCTGGTGTCAACCTCGAGTCCCTTCTTGGCGCCGGGTGCACGACGCGCCGCTTCCTCCTTCTATTTCCTGGCTGCTACTCCCAGAGAACGCAAGATGACATTTTCAAGGAAAGATGCAATAACCACTGTCTTGGGTTGACCAGTTTTCAATGGCTGCTACTACACTTCCACATTATTAAAACTTCTGCGGGTCGTTGGACAAACTGCACTGATGGTGGTGTTTTTTTCTTTGGTTTTCCAACTGCCACACTGCAGCAGGTCCGAGGCGGACGCTGCCCAGGCCCCGCGCAGCCTGGGAGAAGCAGCCTGCTCTCTGGCAATGTGCTGTGCCCACATTCAGTCTTACAAAACAGGACCCATATGTAGCTAGAAACAAGTACATGTACCTGTCTCCGTCCTAATCACCACCATATACTTTCTCCACTGGTAACCGGTGGGTTCTGAGGGGTTCTGCCACCTCCAAGACGAAGTACAAGTCTCAAGTTCACAACATGCTATTGTTCTCTGCACCTTTTCCATGAAACATACACCTCCTTTGTACTAACAACAAACAAACTGGAAAAGGAAAACTGGTTGAAAATAAAAGAGAACAGAATTAAAGCTGGGGCCAGTGAGAGTCCAAGGGCAGTCTCGTTGTCACTCATCACTTTCATGCACCTCCTACAGGTTCCTGACACTGGGATCCGCTGTTGAAAAGGACGATGTACATTTTATACACAGTCTCCCTGCCAATGTACTGTGTCCTGTCAAACAGTGAGCTTTCCGAGGGCATGGACGTCTCTCCTAATTAAAACTGTTTCAGAGACAAAAATTCAACCATTTGTTCATAAAATATTTACCAAGAACTTATTATCAGCAAGGCTCTATAGTAGTAGAGATAAAAATTTGTGTAAAAGAAATTCACCCCCGTGGAACTGAGTTATCAGAAAGAGGCATTAGTCAAGTTACCACACAGCTGAGAAAAAGCACAGGGTCAGTGTCTTGCATGTGCCCGAAGATGACTTGGCCAGGGGGGCTGAGCTGACAGCAGGGCAGCAAGAGGGCTCACACCTCGGTTCCCGAGTTTGAGAACCTATCATATTGTTGCCCACTGTTGGAGTAACTTAAATAAGAACATCGTTTTCAAACAACCACCTTCTGAAGCCGATGCCCAGAAATGGAGACCACACCACCTGAGGCCGGGCACGGAGCACCGAGGGTGGGAACGGGTGAGAGGCTGCTTCTCGCCTCGAGCCCTTCGTGAGAATCAGGAAGAGCCCAGACCACTGAACACAATGACAGTGACCCAAGAACAGGAAAGTATGAGCATCATTTGTGATGGCAGAATATTTTCATGAACAAGGAACAAAGTACAAGAAGATGATTTAAAAGCTCAAATTTATAAACATCTGATTCTCCAGAATGTCAAATGCAAAATAATTCCATTTACTGCCTGGTCTCTATAAACCTAATTTCCACCCCAAAACCGTAACAGAATCAAACAGACAAAACCGAAACAACTCAAAAGGGCAAGAAAATTACCTGAGAAACTCGTTAATGCCCTGCTCACTGAAAGACCCTTTGAGAAGAGCAAACTTCATCTTGCGTGCGTTGATGGCTGCCATGGCGGGGTAGCCGAACCCTCCGATGCCCAGCGCGTTCTCCAGTTCAGACTGGGCTCCGGCTTCTGTCCACAGCCACCTAGAAAAGCAGATTGGGTTCAGGGCAAAGATCCCTTTCAAGTTATTTAGAACCTAACTAGCAGATCTTAAAGAACAAAAGATTACACTTCAAATATTTTATAGATGAAATGGGTGTAGAAATAAATAAAAAACAAAAGGTTAAGTTTTTACAAATATATTCTAGATGTGCTCTTGAGTAACTAGAGTTCCTTTCTCATATTCTCTAAACCTTAACTCCAGGAGCCCCCCAAAATGGACTGGTCTACCTACAGGACTGTATCCTTCCTAGTCTCCAAAATCTTATACACTAAGCCTCGTGAATTTTCTGTCTTTGTTACTAATATCATTTAGGTCATTATGTATAGTCTCAAAAAAGTATAACAACTACTTTTTAGAAAGTTATGGATAGCCCTGGCCAGTTTGGCTCAGCAGTTAAAGCATCGGCCCTCGGACCAAAGGATCATGGGTTTGATTCTCAGCTCTGGTTGGGGTCGTGTGGGAGGCAACCAATAGATGTCTCTTTCTCACATCAATGTTTCTCTCTCTCTCTGTCCCCCTCCCTCCCTTCTACTCTATCTAAAAATAAAAAATATCCTTGGGTGAAGATTAACAACAAAAAGTTATGGATATGTCATCATTATTCAATACATATAAAAATGCTCAACCAACTTTCTTTACTTCTACAAAAGTGAAAGGGAAAACTACAGGTGGCCTGTAGGCACACAATAAATGTCTGCTGAACTGACAGAGGCATATAAAGTCATAGCGAGGGGAACAGGAGAGGCACACAGTACCTGGGGCTGCAATGAACGAGGAGGACAAGAAGCAAAAAGATAAATGGGCCCTGGCCGGTTTGGCTCAGCGGTTAGAGCGTCGGCCTGCGGTCCGGAGAGGCCCGGGTTCGGTTCCCGCTAAGGGCATGTACCTCGGTTGCAATTTGTCCCCGGCCCTGGTTGGTCGTGCGGGTGGCAGCCACTCGATGTGTCCCTTCACGTCGATGTTTCCCTCTCTCTCTCTTCCTCTCTCTCCCTCCCACTCTGTCTGTACAAAAAATGGAAAAATGTCCTCGGATGAGGATTAAAAAAAAAAAAAAAAAAGATAAATGGGAGGGACAGAGGCATACTTTGTTTTACAAGTTTGCCTAGAGATGGCTCTTACGCAGGGGAGGGTAAAGAAACGCCTCTAGCCCTGGCCGGTTTGGCTCAGCGGTTAGAGCGTCGGCCTGCGGTCCAGAGATACCTGGGTTCGGTTCCCGCTAAGGGCATGTACCTCGGTTGCAGTTTGTCCCCGGCCCTGGTTGGGCTGTGCAGGAGGCAGCCACTTGATGTGTCCCTTTCACGTCGATGTTTCTCTCTCTCTTTCTCTTCCTCTCTCTCCCTCCCACTCTATCTGAACAAAAAATGGAAAAATGGCCTCAGGTGAGGAGAAAAAAAAAGAATAAGAAACGCCTCTATTTCTTCTTTCTTGATCCAGTCTTCAAGGACGTACTAGAATTCCATTATGTTACTAATTAAGTTTATGCTTGCTTGCCTGGGACCTCAACTGCCATTTGAACTACAATTCCTATCAGAAAAGTATGCTGTGGTACAAATTAGGGCCTTATAAATGAGAGACCTGTATTACTTTTTTTCTTCCTAAATAATACAAACATAGAACACATCCTACAGAAAACAGAGGGAACCAGACACTTTCAAGAAGCACTTACACTTTCCTACCCAAATAATACTGATAGTAAGTTCAATAACTTACCCCCACATTTTCTTTTTGTATTTGTCAGCCAATTTTAGAAGAACTTCCAAATAAGAATTTCTGCCTGCAGCTCCTAATTTAAACACACAAAATGTTTAAAGGTGAAACAAAGGCATCTGCAACATTAAGTGACTTAGCAAGTGTTCCCAGAGCAGGCGGCACAGCACGACGAATGGAGAGTGAGCGTGTGTTCATCGTACCAGTGTCAAGAATGTGGGGCAGGACGGCCACGATACAGAGCTGATGCTCCTCACACGTCTTCTTGGCGATGTCCTCGTTGATGATCTGTGGTACCGGAGACGAGATGGAAAACAAAGAGCACCATTACTTTCATTAAAGAGCAAAGCAAGGGAGAGAGGGGACTTCTCCCAATTGACACTTCCTTGCACGTATTCTAGAAACTCCACCAATAATGCTCTTAAGAGATTCCCCTACTGCCCTGGCTGGCTTGGCTCAGCGGTTAGAGTGTCGGCACGCGGTCCAATGAGTCGCGGGGTTTGATTCTGGCCAAGGGCACATACCTCGGTTGCAGTTCGTCCTGAGCCCAGTCAGGGTTGTGCGGGAGGCAACCAGTTGATGTGGCTCTATCACATCGATGTTTCTCTCTCTCCCCCTCCCTCCTACTCTATCTGATGACAAATAGAAAAATACCCTCAGGTGAGGAATTAAAAAAAAAAGAGATTCCATTATTTACTCCGAAGCCACCTATCTGTAGGGGGTACACACAGTCTCTGAAATCACAATTCCGGGCACAGTGTGGCTCTGACACTTAGCCTTTGAGTAGGTAGACAGACATGTTTATATAAATACAAGGCTCTCTGTGCCTCAGTTTCCTCGTATGTAAAATGGAGATTAAAAACTGTATTTATCACTAAGTGTTCACATGAGAATCAAATGAGGGAAATCTATATAAAAACAGCAGAACAGTGCCTGTTACATGATCAGGTGCTTAGTAAGTGTTGGCTATTATTCTGAGAATGAGAAATAAAAGATCCATTCCATTTTTGAGAAGCTTAGGTATATACTTTTCCTCACAGTGCGATTATCTTAGTGCTAAAGTTATCAAAAGCAGCAATTTATCAGACAGGTTTTGCCCATCTGAACGCACAGAAACACCTGCAAGAGCAGGAAAAGAGCTGACTGGAAAGGTGGAGTCCTGCTGCCGCGGCCCCACTGCAGGCGGGAGGCTCCCCTCACCGAATGGCCGAGGGCTTTACCTCCAGCAGCTCAGGAGGCGGGGCGTTGTCAGAAAACAAGTCGAGGGCCCGGGAGACGATGTCGGATCTTGTCCGCCCCCCGTCATAATCCACAGGAGACTCGCCTTTCTGAAATATCTTGATTGTAGGAAATCCCCTAATCTATTAAAAATCAAATGAACATTTCATAAGAAATAAGGTCATCTTTATGGTTTCTAAAACCACCTTCTAGGCAATTTAATGTAACAAAAATATTCCCCAGCCTACACTGATGTCTGAGGATGGCACACAGGTCTGTTGGGGGGTTTCAGCGATCTGCCAGGTGTGGCCAAACCTTATTCAGACCCCGGATATACACTTAATATATCTGCTCTAGAACAAACGGACCAACTTCAAAAGCCCTATGAACTTGTAAAAGCTTGGGAAAGCTTAAGGCTCACATTAAGCACAAAGAAATAGTGAAATACTGGGGGAAACCGCCCCGCCCCAAACAACAGTCCCGACTTCCAGACTTATTAGTTGTAACAATAAAGTGACTTTATTTCTTTATTACAAAAAAGACTAAACCCCCACCTCACAGGGAGGCCCGGCGCAGTGGATAGAGTAACAGTGAGAAACTGGGCATCTCACAAAGAGAAGAGCCCACAAACGTACCCCGTACCGGCCGGCCAGCATCTGGTTGGCCGTGGCGTCCACAGCGGCGAGTTTCACCTTTCCTTTCGTCTGCTCTTTGACCTCTGTAGCTGCAGCGGCCCATTCTGGCTCCAGGCTATAGAAAAACACCTCAATCTCAGCACAAATGCTTTAACTAACGTGCGCATTTCTGCCCGACCAGTTACATCACACTTGGAAAAAGTTTTCAGTGCAGCTTTATGAAAGACAGGACGCACCCTCCTCATCTGCTTCCCAGTCCTGTCACCCCCCACAATCTGGATGCCAGCTCCCTGTTCATCTGTGAAAATACGACAGAAAACTCCTGGCACCGATGCCAATGTTTATCATTCGTTGAGTCAGTTTTTTGGGAGGAGACATTGGTTACATCTATTATCTGATTCGGCTCTTTCAAAGGGAGCTATGTACACTCACCTATACGTGACATCTAAAAAATAAAAGTAGCCAATCAAGCTCCTAGACACAGAGAACACATTGGTGATTGCCACAGGCAAGGGGGTGGAGGGGGCGCAAGCTTGCGAAATGGGTGAAGAGGGTCAAAAACAGAAAACCCCAAAGCAAGCTAAATCATTATATTTAAAACTCTGTGACTTAGCCCTGGCCAGCTTGGCTCGGTGGTTAGAGCGTCGGCCCGTGGACCAGAGAGTCGCGGGTTTGATTCCGGTCAAGGGCATGTACCTCGGTTGCAGTTTGGTCCCTGGTCCTGTTCAGGGTCGTGCAGGAGGGCAACCAATCGACATGTCTCTCTCACATCGATGTTTCTCTCTCTCTGTCTCTATCTCTCCCCCCACTCTGTCTGAAAATAAAAATAGAAAAATATCCTCGGGTGAGGATTAAAAAACAAAATAAAAACCTCTGTGATTTAAAAAAAGTACTTAGTTAAAAGCACTTACTTTTTGCAGTGTCCACACCAAGGAGCATAAAACTCAACCATCCAAACATCTTCACTGTCAAGAACATTCTTATCAAAGTTGTCGTCTGTCAGCTCAATCACGTCTTTCTTACTTGAGCTTTCACTTCTACCCTGTCATTGTGACATTAAACATTAAACTAAGAGTGGCCCAAAGAACAGGATTCCTATTCTGAATACACCTATTCGAAAAACTGCCTCTACATTTTTACAAAGTTTTTGAGTTTTCGAGTGAAAACTACTTTACTCAATTCAGGGACATCGTGTAATATTATTTTTTTGCTTGTTAAACAGTAACTGCTTTCACACATCACCAGTACATTCAGTATAACACATAACATGTATCTAAATTCTGTCCCTCCCTATTTTTCTTAAGAGAAACCACAGGGCTCAAACCATCACTCCCTAACACTACCCTATAATCCAGACTCGGCACAGCCGCTGGCTATGCCAGGACGATGTGCATCGCTACAGTTACCACCTTTTCATCACGTCTCTACCATTCAAGAACACCAAAGACAGCATTTAATTCTCTTCTTTTCTCAAATACTTTTCTTCAGTACTGATCCTAAATCAGCCAGTATTGCTATCTTGCTTTCTGCTGCCTGGGCCCAAAGCCGCAGGGCTTGGGGAGGTGGCTGTGCTCACTAACCGTCTAAGTTCGCAGCAAAGGCAAGAGCACAAAATCTCTGAGCAAGCTCTAAGTCTGTATAAAGACGAACAAAGGGCCATTTTATCTACATTTATCAGTAAGAATTCAATGCCTTTTCACAGGATCATAAGCATATCATAGTTAACCATCATATATCACATTTCATACAAGGGCATCTAAAATACAATCCACAGAATAGGAACTTCTTTCTCTTCTTCCCCATGCATTCATGTAGAATTTACCATGGACTTTAGGCAAGAGGCCATTCAAATTTCACCTATTTGCTCGAAGTCCTCCAGAGAGCTGACCTCTCTCTCCTCTGTGACCAGGTGAGCAAGGGGCCTGGAGCCCCCGCTGCAGCCCCAGCTCTTCTACTTCAGCCCTGCCCAGCGAGCCTCTCTGGGGCCTAGCTTTCGGCCTGTGCTTGGGCAGGGTGCCCAGGACTGACCGGCTATGGCGAGGGTGGTTCTGAGGAGACCAAATGAGCAGGCTGGAGGGCAGACTCCCTCTGGGGTCACCTGACCCAACCTCCCATTATTTTTTAACTGAAAGTACACCAATGTGCAATATTAAAAAAAAAAAAAAAACAAAAAAATTCTATCTTCTACAAGGGAGTCCACCCTCAGGCTTCAAAATCATCACACCTAAAAGTGACGTTCCAGAGCCTTACTTGTTTCCCAGAGCTGTATCCACCACCCCTCCCCGCCAGGCGGTCCTTGACGAGCTGGCGCAGGGCGCTGAGGGCAGCATCCACAATGGCGTCCGCCGTCCTGCCACCTGCAGGAGAGAAGGGCACCAGCTGAACGGTGGGCGGGCTGGGCGCCTATCAATCAGTGCCTAGCTCTGCAGCTGAAACTCAACAATGGCAACAGCCTTTGGAAGTTTGCCAAAACACGAGCTCAAGACAGTCAGGGGACTATTAACTGACTCAGAAGTATAAGGATAACAATATATGCCAGAGGTGATCTTCAGAGTTCAAATGCAAAACTCTAAATAAATAAAATTGCTTCAGAGAGCCTCATCTCTTTTTATTAAAAAAAGAGTCGTCTGATCAAACTGCCTAGGGAGAAAGAAGACCTGAGAACACCTCAGACCTGATCTAAGCAAACGGCACAGCAGCACCGAGAGTCCGATCAGCTGGTACTGCAGCCCAGGCTGCGGTGCCCGGTGCCACCTCCTAGACAGAAGTGCAGACACAGCATAAAGACAGGCTCTGCTCCAGCCCGAGCCAGCCCCTCCCACCCATCTTTACCTGGAAATAACCAAGTCAAGAAATATACGAACAAAAAAGGCAGAAAGGATTTTCTCACTCTAGACCAAGGGCTGGCAAATTCCTACTTTTCCAAAAACAGGCAGCAAGCTAAATGCAACCCCTACTCTAAACATTCGAATTTTACAAGTTAGTAAAACAAATTATTATTTTGAAGCAGAAAAGCAGAGGTTTACGCAGAAAAATGAAACTGATGATTTGAAACTTCAGAGCTGGGAGTCTAGAGGGAAGGATGTGAGCCAGACCTTATCTCCAGGATTCTGACCCCCAGCTTGGTGACATACCAACTACACTGTATTTAACAAATCACATGCTTTACATGTACGATTTCAGTGATAAAATAGGTCTTAACATGCCCATTTTACAGACAAGAAGTTGCTCCCGAAAGGTAAGTGTCTATTTAGTTATGAAGCCCCAGTGTACTGAGGCCAGCAGTAAAGCCAGGCTGGCTGCCATCCAAGACTCACTCTGAAGATATGCACTCCCTTCGAGTTCCCTTTTGAGAACGTTCCCTGTATCAGCTGGACATGATGCAGGCCACCAAGTACAGATAATACAATAACACTTTGTTTTATTGTGATGCTGACTCTCCTCCCCTCACCCCCAAACTTGTTTTTCTCACATAAAGTAAAACCAAAGATGTTTTACTCTAGGTTGTCACTTATATGGTCCATGTATTAAAATCTTTAAAAAATGTATCAAATGTGCCATAATTTAAACTTTAAATACATTATGCCCAATACTTTTTATTAGGACTATGAACATGGGACCAACCTAGCAATTCTGATCATCTTAAATATAGTGATCTGTTTGTGCTATCTTAAATGAAATAATAGGACTATTCTATAAAAGAACACCCAGGGTAACTAAAATAACATTCAGCCTTGAGAGTCTGAAGCAAGAATTCTCTCTTCAGTAGCCTCAGTGACTAAGAACAGATACTCATGATTTATTTATCTACAAACCGGGGAGAATTTGTAGCACTTATCAACAGTTTGGGAGATAAGTAACAACTTTAATATTATATGTTTACAAGGCATAAAGATTCATGGGTGAAATACTCCATAGGACATCAACAGTTTAAATTGACTTTCACATTACAGGGACTTCTTTCTGCCACACTGCTGTGCTAGACCCTTTTCCTACAGCAGAGGGAAGAGAACTCACAGCAAGAAAACATTTATCAATCTTTATTTAATAGTAAGTAATTATAAAATATTAAGTAGCTAGTCTCTTTTTTTTAAAAATTATAAAGAGAAAGACAAGAGGGAAGCACAGAACATCATTATCCTATCATTACAAAGGCCATGTGGGACTAAGCTAGCATGAATGATAATAAAAAACCATTTACCTGTATGATACATTTAATCTTCAGAACTCAGAAGAGGTAGGAATCGCACTGTGCCATTGTAGAGCTAAGCGGGTTTAGGCACAAAGAGGCTGAGAAACTTGTAGGCAGCAGGGCTAACAAGTTATAGAATCCTTGTTTTCTCCTATTTTTCCTTACCTGCTCAAATAAAAATTCCCACCTGGGGAAGTAGTTAGCAAAGTCCTTACCCTGATAATCTTCTGGTCTGTTTTTGTTGGATCCAAAAATCTTGATGGTAGGAAATCCCTGCACCCCATACTGTCCTCCGAGGGACTGATGTTTATCCGCATCAACTGCACCCACTTTTACAATATCCTGTGGAAATATGAGAGGATTATCTACTTTCAACTGGAGTAGTCCACAGGAACCCATCATCTCATTTGTGTCAAGACAAGAAGATGACAAAGGGCTTTACAAGCAGAATGAATGAGGGTTTCGTCTGGGAAACCAGTCCCAAGTGGTACCATGAGAGTGAAACACAAACTAGTCCATGAAACAGAATGATACAAACAAACAACATAAAAGTTAAAATGTACATCATACCTTCCTAGATGATTTTGGCATCAAAACAAGGGTTTTGAGCTTTGATATACAAATTAGCTCCCTATTCTACATTAAGTCATTTGTATAAGTTGAAACATATACAAGTGCATGTGGACATCTCAAAAACTTACTTTTAATGCAGTTGCTACTTTCTTCCATTCTGGTGTTAACCTTTGGCAGTGGCCACACCTTTTAGGGGATAAAAACACAAATAAGGCAACAGTTGAAGTTTTTGGTCCCCAATTTATTCATTTATTTTTTAGAGACAGACAGAAACATCAATCTGAGAGAGAAACATTGATCAGCTGCCCTCTGCATTCCCCATGACTGGGGATCGAACTGGGACTTCAGTCCATAGACGATGCTCCATCCCGAGCCACACTGGCAGAGCTTTGATCCCCAATTTAAAAACCACCACTCTACAGAGTGCCAGGCAAGGGAATGACGGCTTGCAGGGAGTACAAGCATCAACAAAGCATGAACTTAAAGGAGTTCACTATTTTCGGACTTTACTACAATCCTTTTTCATCTCGTAGTTTTAAAATGTTTCCAAATGACTGCTCAATTAAATTATATTCAAAGAGTTTGAACAAACTATCATTCCTAACTCTGTACCAGAGACTGAAGTTTAGTGTGCATCTGGTCAGCTGTGCCTCAACGTGCGGCTCGAGCTATATGGCTAGACAAAATGCAGATTCCTGGGCCCCGAGAAATCTGAGCTCCTACAGAAGGAGTTTAGGAATCTAGATTTTAATAAATTCTGCTAGTGACTCTTAAACTGACAGGATCTGATATTCTCTGGTATAGTTCCACCTTTTCATTTTACAGGTAAGACATCTGAATTAGAGCCTAAGTATCAATAAGCTTTGGCTCCCACATCAGCTTACGAGTTCGACACGCACACACACTTGCACATTAGTGAGCGTAACAAGTGGGAAGCACTGGGAACCACAAGGTGGTGATGAAAGAGCAAGAGAGACAAAGGAGAGACAAGACCACAAGGAAAACAACCTTAATCTTTTAGGGACTAGTATTTGAAAATGTTGTGAACTATATAACACTCCTAGAAATTGTTTTTATTTTTTAGAGACAGAGAAATATAAACATCCATGTGAGTGAGGAACATCAGTCGGCTGCCTCCTGCACGCCCCCTACTGGGGATCAAGCCAGGCACAGGCCCTGAGAATTCGGGACCTCAGTCAATGAGGGGATGCTCAATCTGCTGAGTCACACCAGCTGGGCTCTAGAAAGCATTCTTAAGAGGCAACCAATCGATGTGTCTCTCTCACCTTGATGTTTCTCTCTCTCTTCCCCTCTCACTCTGTCTGAAAATAAATGGATATATATCCTCAGGTGAAGATTAAAAAAAAAAAAGTGTTTTTAAAAAGTGATATAGGCGTAGTGGCTCAGATGGTTGGAGAGTCGTCCCGTACACAAAAACGGCCGTGGGTTCAATCCCCATACAGGAGGCAACAGATCAATGTTTCTCTCTTAAATAGATGTTTCTCTGCCGCCCCCCCTTCCAGAATCAATAAACATATGCTTAGATGAGGATTTTTAAAAATAACAGTAAAGATAAATACTTAAATAAAAAGTAATATAGCCCTGGCCAGTGTGGCTCAGTTGGGTGGGTGGGTGTCATCCTGTGCACACAAATGTTGCTGGTGATTCTCGGTCAGGGCACATGCCTGGGTTTTGGGCTCAATTCTGGCAGGGGGGTGGGGAGTGGTACAGAAGGCGGCCAATTGATGTTTTGTTCTCACATCGATGTTTCTCTCTCTCTCTCTCTCTCCCCTTCCTTCTCCCTTTTTCCCTCTCTAAACATCAAAAATATTTTAAAAAATAACTGATATACACACCACCTGTTATGTTAATACCAATATAGGTAGTTATAGGGTTCATTTCATTGATATATAATATCCATCATATGAAGACACCATAGTTAGTTTATCTGCAGGTAATTTGTTTTTTTCTTTTTGTAAACCAAGTAAATTCTTTTCTAATTAGGTCTCTGAGGCCTAACAAGCAAATGCCACGTGCCAGCCCAAGGATGAGCACTCTTCACACAGGATTTATTTAATCAGCACAACCCTGAAGGCAGGCCTTATTATTTTCATTTACAGATGATAAAACAGAGACTGAGATGTTAAGAAACCCTCCCAGCACCACCTGCTCATTCCCTGACAGAGCTATCTAACAGGTCTTTCATACTCCAGACCCCACATTCTCAATCACTATGAACAGCACTTAATCCGGTATTTTAAATTCAAGATCTTTCAGGAAATGTCCTGAAATGCTGTTTGTATATACTTATATACAGTATGTTTTGGTGTTTAGGTGAGCTTAGAAGTCTAGGAGTCAAAAATTTACAGGACTTTGTGCCTCTTTCATTTCAGTTTATTATATAAAAGAAGGTGCAGATCAAAGATTGTCAGAGTGAATCCCTTCAATTTCAACATTAAGCAATGTAAAGACAACAAAATGCCACATAAATACAAATATAGCACATCCTCTGATTCAAGGTTCTTCACCCGAGATCCACAGACCCCCGCCCCCCCCAAGAAAGGATTGTAGATAAAAATTTAGGGGCTCTGAACTTTGATGGCAACACCTGGCTCCATTTTCACCAACATTTGGGACTTCCTTCAATTACTACCAAGAGCCACAGTTGGTTAGGACTCAGCTACTCTTCCATCACCACTGGAGTGTTGCAGGTACTTCTGAAGATCATTTCTGCTCACCGCTAGTTCCGAACTCTGGGGCCAGCTGTTAGATCCACTGCTGCACCCTGTCTTTACTGTCCTCGCATAAAGGAGGACTACATAACCATCTGAAGATTTATTTTGATACTTTGATTATGTTAACATTTTCGTTTTCTTCTGTGATCCGCTATGCTTTCCCTTCACCAAGCTGTGCAAGTAGACACACAGAGAGGCTGAGAGGCCTGCTTTAATTACAGTCTCACACCCAGAACACTAGGGAGCAAACCTCTGCCGGGTAACAGTAACAGTTAACCGCGGGGTCCAGACCCCGCCTTCTCAATTATGCTGTCTGCTTTTTGGAATGAGGCATATCCTCGAATATATAGCAGCTCCCAGAAACAAGGTAAATTACTCATGCCATAAAAGATGAAAAAGATCAAACTTGTAAACATTGCATGCAAAGGCAGTCAACAATATAACAGTTTGTATAATTACTATTTGTACTTTTACTAATACAAGTGAGCTAACCCCTATAGAAATCTCGTTTGAATTTTACAACCAAAAAACAAACAGCTTTTAAAAGGCATTAAAATGAACATTATTCACAATGTGACAGTATCAACTTCCAAAGTAAAGTTCTGCCTTAATTTACTGCAGTGAGCATTAAGTGAAATATCTCATGAGGACTGGTACTGTTTCCAAAACTCAGCCTCATGGTCTTCCAAAGGAAAAACTGAAGCCATAAGGAAAACCTTTCATCAGGCATACCTAAAACACACCTACGCAGGTAAGAATTTGACTGACTACCCTTTGTGAGCTTTGAAGGTACAGTTGACATCTAAAAGGACACCCACCACCTTGGGCCCTGGCCGATCTGGCTCAGCGGTTAGAGCGTCAGCCTGCAGACCAATGAGTCGCAGGTTCTATTCTGGTCAAGGGCATGTACCTCGGTTGTGCTTTGTCCCCGGACCTGGCTGGGGTCATGCAGGAGGTGACCAGTCAATGTGTCCCTCTCACGTTGATGTTTCTCTCTCTCTCCCTCCCATTCTATCTGAACAAACAAACAAAAAAGAAAGATATCCTCGGGTGAGGATTTAAATAAACAAACAAATGGACCACCCTGTGTCTCAGGTCACCACGCAGTTCGTCCACACACACACTCTGGCTGTGGCTGGGGGGTTCCCTCCCAGGCACCCGAGGCCTGCTCGTTTCCAGCAGTGAGTCTCCTGCACATTTTGTACCTTTTTGACTGACTTGTCTCTATACTTCTATTTGTTGGGTTTTTGTTTTGTTTTCATTAAATGTTTTAACTACATACTATATTCTGACTATATATAGTTGTACAACATTAATTTCAACAGTAATTACATCTTCAATCCCTAAGGGTTTTTCCAACAACGTATGAAAGGCAAGAGAATAACTAAAATTAACCTAGATTTTCTAGTTGCATATTTCTGGAAGCAACCCTCTTCAAGAAACAGAATGGAGTCAATCACCGGCTCTCCCCTTTCTTTTGCCCAATAGTCTTTCTTCATAAATCAGTTTCCCATCCTACTCACCTCATCATAAGAATAAACCATCTTAAAATATTCAGGGTGTTTCTCTCTCTCTTCTTTCTTGAAACAATCAGCTACTTCAACCATTTTTTTTCCTCTTGGCTCAATCTCCATGGCTTTCAATAAACAACACTTTGTGAAGTCTCCCACTTCCCTCCACTCTTTTTTTTTTTAATCCTCACCCGAGGACATTTTTCCATTTTTTGTTCAGGTAGAGTGGGAGGGAGAGAGAGGAACAGAGAGAGAGAGAAACATCAATGTGAAGGGACACATCGAGTGGCTGCCACCCGCACGACTGACCAGGGCCGGAGACAAACTGCAACCGAGGTATGCGCCCTTAGCGGGAACCGAACCCGGGTCTCTCCGGACCGCAGGCCGACGCTCTAACCGCTGAGCCAAACCGGCCAGGGCCCTCCACTCCTTTTAAACAAGCAGGAAACTGGGTAAACTAGATGGCCAAATAAAATCACATTTTTGTTTGTTATTCCTCATCCGAGGATATTTTTTCCACTGAATTTTAGAGAGTGGAAGGGTGAGGAGCAGTGAGAGACAGACAGACAGAAACATTGATGTGAGAGAGACACATCGATTGGTTATCTCCTGCACGTGCCCGACCAGGGCCGGGGATCAAACCTACAACCCAGGTTCGTGCCCTTGACCGGGAATTGAACCCGAGACCCTTGGGTGCGCAGGCTGATGCTCTGTCCCCTGAGCCACACCAGCCAGGGCAAAATCCCATTTTTATATGGTATTTTTCCCTTTTAAAGTACCACAAATGACTGACAAGTACTTTATAGTACTTACCATGGAGCAAAGAATTCTACAAGCCACAAACTATTACTTTGAATAACTTCTTGGTTGAAATTTGATGGAGTTAATTCGATCACATCATCACTAGAGGAATACAGCCCATTCACTGTGAAAATGAAGGTACAGCTCACCAGACCTGGAAAACAACCAAAAGCAGACCATCAACAGCAGCGCCCATGCCGAAGGGAAGCCCAGGAACCAGTCTTCTTCAATGACCAAGGCCCTTCATACAGGAGGACGGCCTGGGTCAGGTCCCTCCCAACCTCTCCCCTGCCTTCCCTGCTGCTGGTGGAGCCCCTGGGACTTTCCTCCCGCTGGTGCGGCGCCAAGCAAGACGGGAACAGTCTCCACGCTCCTCTCTGGAGCTCCACCAGAAGATTTCACTATTATTCGATGCCTGCACTCTCCGTAGCCCCTCTGGGAGGCAGTACTACCACTGCCACTTTATGAGCAAGGCCACTGAAAACCTGGGAGGTTACATCTAGCTGTGTTGACCACACAGTATTTATTTCTTGTGTTATTCAGTTGCAATATTAGCATGCCATCTTTATTAGCTTTTTTTTTTAAGGGAAAAAGAGTTTCCCTACTAGAATGGGACTCTCTCAAGGGCAATGATCATTTTTACAAGTACTTTTATTTCTGCTAACCCTATCAATGGCACATCACCAGACACTCACAATGCTGCTGGATGAGTTTACAAAGAATTTTCAGCCCTGGTCGGTTTGGCTCAACGGTTAGTGTCGGCCCACGAACCAATGAGTCGCGGGTTCAATTCCGGTCAAGGGCATGGACCTCGATTTCGGTTCGTTTCTGGCTCTGGTCAGGTTGTGGGGGAGGCAACCAGTGATGTGGCTCTATCACATCAATGTTTCTCTCTTTCTCTCCCTCCCTCCCACTATATCTAATCATAAATAGAAAAATGTCCTTGGGCGAGGAATTAATAGAAAAAAGAATGTTCATGTGGTTAATGTTATAAAGCAAATAGTCTAGTGTATTATAATGGCATAGTTTAGCCACACTGTGGACCAAGTATATTTCTGTCGGCCACTCTAGGAACTTACATGCAGATAACAACTATATTTTTTTTTAAAGTTCTGGTCTGGCCAGTGTGGCTCAGTGGTTGAGTGTCGACCCATGCACCAAGAGGTCACTAGTTCAATTCCCAGTCAGGACACATGCCCAATGCCCAGGTTGTGGGCCCAATCCCTAGTGGGGGGCATGCTGGAGGCGGCCAATTAATGTTCTCTCTCACCCATGTTTCTATCTCTCTCTCTCGCTCCCTCTCTCTCTAAAAATCAATAAAGGAAAAAAAATGTTTTGAACTGACTTAAAAATACTTTAAGAACTCAAAAGTCATTTGAATTGGCAGTATTATCAAAATCTCACCTCCTCCTTTAAAATTTTTTTTTTCCCTTTTTTTTTTTTTATCCTCACCCGAGGACATTTTTCCATTTTTTGTTCAGATAGAGCGGGAGGGAGAGAGAGGAAAAGAGAGAGAGAGAAACATCGATGTGAAGGGACACATCGAGTGGCTGCCACCCGCACGACCAACCAGGGCCGGGGACAAACTGCAACCGAGATACGTGCCCTTAGCGGGAACCGAACCCGGGTCTCTCTGGACCGCAGACCGACACTCCAACCAATGAGCCAAACCGGCCAGGGCTCCTTTAAAATTTATATATAGTTTTATGTTATCTAATTGCATTGTTTTATGCCTCCAGAACAATGCTAAATAATAGAATGTTCTTGATTTTAACAGGAATATTTTCCCACTTGCATGATGCTGGCTTTTCAGTTGAAACAGATCAACTGTATGTTATTGAAGAAATTTCTATTGCTGTCTTTCCGGCATCTATGAAGATGATCATATAATTTCTCTTTTAATCTGCTGAGAAAACGAATGAAAAGCGTGAGTGACCTGTCTTCCAAGGTATGTGTGTATATATGCCTCTTAGTCACATTTTCATATGCTGACTCTATAAACAGAATTTGGGAGATTTCAAATGGAACTTTTCTGAATAACCCAATGGTTAATTTCTTTTGGAAGGAGTGCACACCAGTGTTAATTGTTGTATTGCTAAATATTTCACCTAACACTTACATAGCACTTTCAATTTTCAAATCCCTTTCAAATACATCACATCACTTGATTTTTCACAGCACTGCTAACTACAGAGCAAGAACCATCCTTGTTTTGTAAAAGGCAGAATGAGATCAAGGGCCCGTCTACAGCCATATATATATAAGTGGCAGAGCAACTCTCCAACTTCTGTTTCTAAGCTTCCCCCATTAAACCATGTAGTCTTTTTAGTGCTCAAGATAAAAAGGTGAGTGCAGGGGCATGAATAAATAATCACACTGTTCAAGAACACTACATTTGAATTACAGAGATTGCTCATGTAGGAACTTATGAAATAAAACCATGGGCTTTACTGATGGTGATGTGAAGCCACCAGGTTATCATGGGGAGGGGGTAGAGTCAGATTTGCTTTCTAGAAAGAATATCTGGCTGCAGTGTGGGTAGTGGATGGAGGAAATACCAAGGAAAAGATGGAATGGCAACAGTAACATGCTCCTGGGAGCTCCGGCAGGAAAGACCGAAGACTGCACTGGATGTAGTGACAAGGCGACCACTGGGGCCCCTGGCGGCTGCGGTACAGTAGTGGAAATAAGCAGCAGGCAGTCTACAGAATATCAGAGAGGAGGAGGAAACAAGCTGGTGAAAACAATACAGGCAACTCTTTAAACAAGTTTCATTGTAAGAGCAGGAGAGTAAATGGGGGATAGAGGATGGTTTCTTTGTAAAGATGGCAGTGAACGGAGCATGAAGGAAAGAAATATGTGGAGTGGGAAAGACTGAAGATAAAGTACAGGGAATCACGGACCAAGATAAAACGCTCAGTCAGGAGGGGAGGGAACACACAGCCTGGGATGGGATGGCCGCTTCTATTTCAAGAGGTGGGAAAGGGCGAGCGTGGAGACCAGGCCAGCCAAAGTGGCTCCCGATAACTGCGCCGTCCAATATTGCAGCCATGAGCCATACACGGCTACCCCACAGATGTGTGGTAGGCATAAAGAGCACACTGCATTTCAAAAACTTGGTAGGAAAGAAACATTAAACTATTAACTTTTTAAAAAATATCGATTACATGCTGAAGTGGTATTGTAGATATGCTGAGTAAATAAATATACATTAAATTTCACTCATTTTTTGCCTTTTTAAATGTGCCTACTGGAAAATCTTAAATTACCAAAGATTTCACTACATTTCTAGTGGATGGTGCTGCTCAATAATCTTTTCACTGCTGCAGGAAAAGTTAAATAGAGCTTGCTATATTTAGTGAAGTAAGTAAATTAAGATCCTAAGCAAAGACAGTCCTAAGTCTAAATAAGCGCAAAAGAAAGATTGTTTCTGAAGATTCCTCTATGATATCTACTACATTCAAACTTTATCTTTTTATTTTCTTTGTAAAAAGTTTATATATAGATAGATACTTGTTCAATACATTGAGTTCACTGTGAAATTTTCAAAACTGGAAAAGCAAAAGAAAAGCCATCAATAGTCCCCACCAGAACAAGCTATTCGTATTTTGGTGGCTATTCTTACAGACATTTCTATGCAACAGAGGTGGAAAACTTTATTATATTCATATAAATGGGATCATACTGTATATATTCACTTCTGTAAATTTTTGTCACTCAAAATAAATTACAGATATTTTCTCTATAATTATGGATTACTTATTACCCCCATGTAACCAGTATTAATAGCTATATCATGTTGCCAATCCACTACTGAGAATTTGATTGTTTCCCTTTTCACTATTAACAGGTCAATGCTGCAAATGCTTATTCCTGCCCCCCCATCCCAAATGAATATGATTAGTTAAGAGAAAATCTTACAAGGGGGTACAGGGAATAAGGCTAACATTTTGATATATCTGTCCAACTACCCTCCAGAAATGGACATCTTTAACTAAGAATAACACTTCTATGACACTATATGCCAGGTATTGTTCTAAACATTTAAAATATATTAACTCATTTAAGAATTCTATGTGGTATGTACCGTCATGTTCATTTTTAGGCCAGAAAAACTGATTTATCTAAGGCCATATAATTAGAAATATAACATGGTTGCCCAGCTGGTGTGGCTCAGTGGATTGTCCCATGGACTGAGAGGTCTCAATTAAATTCCCAGTCAGGGCACATGCCCAGGTTTCAGGCTAGATCCCCAGTAGGGGGTGTGCAGGAGGCAGCCAATCCATGCTTCTCTCTCACATGCTGTTTCTGTCTGTCTCCCTAAAAAAAAAAAAAAAAAAATCAATAAAAATACATTAAAAAAAGAGAAAGAAATAGCCCAGCCGGTGTGGCTCAGTGGTTGGATGTCAACTCATGCACCAAAAGGTCACCGGTTCAATTCCCAGTCAGGGCCCAAGGTTGTGGGCCAAATCCTCAGTGAGGGGCATGCAGGAAGCAGCCAATCCATGTTCTCTCTCATTGATGTTTCTATCTCCCTCTCTCTAAAAATTAATAAAGACAAAAAAAGAAATATAACACGGTTATGTAACCCCAATTTTCAACCAAAGGTCTGGAGGCTGCAGAAGTATAATCCCAAGGAGGGTCATTGGGTAGATGGTGGCAGAATTCGGTTCTTTCCTTTCTCTTGCCAATCAGAACAGTAATAAAGACTGTACTTGTCCTCCTCAGACTAGAGTCACCAAAGGGATGGTCCATGATTTTTACCCCGGGAATGTGCTTCCTTTCCACACACAGACAATCATGTCTCCTGACACTCAATATAACATGGACTTCGGCTATTTTTCTCTGGTGTTGGACTTTTGTTTGTCTAAGTTTTGCCTGGTCCTTACAGGAGCCCCCCCCCCAAAGTGGCTATCCAATGGAAATGTCTTGATAAAGCTTCGAGACCTAAACTCCTTAAAAGGCGGTGTGACCTAGTAGGGTTAGAAGTAAATCAAACATAGTACTCAGGAACACATAATAAAAGATGTATAAATTCCAACAGCAAAAATATAGCCAGCAACTACCCCACAAAAACTCTCAAAAAGCACAAAAATCACTGGGCCCACTTAAGATGATAAAGTAGGTCAATGCTGACCAATATTTTTCTGTTTCGAAAAATCACACCGCTGTTCCACTCACTGGCAATGAGCACCAATGGGCACCTGGAACATCCTCCTGTCTAGTCTAGTGAGCAGCCGGTTTTGCTACCTGCGGCTTGCTTCCTCCACAGTCGTTAAGGATGCTGTAAATCCACATCAGGAACAGCTGGGTCCCACACCTGCTAGCAAGAGTACATGGTCCCAAAGCAGCCATCTAGAAACCAAGAGGGCTCCCCAAAAGGCTGATTACATTTATTAAAATAATGAGTTAACTGAAAGAACCACAGACTCTTTCAGGGTGTAGTCTGAATTCACTTGTGGGCAACGTTCCCCCCATCTATTCTCTCTGCAGTAATACAGCAAATATTGACACTCTCTTTAGACCTGTGTTAATTCATCAATCCTCAGAACAACCCTGGCGGACTGGCACAGAGTGGCTAAGGAACTTGCTCCCAGTCACACTGCTAGTCAATGCGGGGGAGAGGATGGGACTCGAACCGGGTCTGGGTCCAGTGTTCCGGTAAGAACTGTGCGGCGCCTGGCTGGGACCCAGCGGAGCCCAGAGAAGGGCTCCGCTCTGCAGTGTGTAGAACAGACGCTTACATCATTCACGCAAGCCTGGGTCCGCGGAGTTAAAAGTTCGAGCACATTTAACGCGCTCTTGCGTCGTAAGACCAGCTTCTGCAAGGCATCTCCCTTTACAGGGCAACCTCCAGGCCTGACTTCAAACCTGGGTTTTAACATTTCAGTTTTTCTTAGAAGTAGGAATCCCATCAAAGAAGTGGCGAGGAAGGGCAGCGCGAGGAGCCCGCGGCTCTCCCGGACACCCCGGAGCCTGAGGTCCCGTTTAGGTGGCACCTCCGTGCCCAGCGCCCGCCAGGGACCGCGCCAGGCCGATGACCACGGCTCGAACGCAGCTCCCGGCCGGCCCCAGGCCGCCCCTCCCCCGGCGCTCGGCACGCAGAGCTCGGACCCGGGCTCGGGCTGTCCCCGGAGTCCCCGGCGCCCTGGGTTCGAGCCCAGCCTCAGAGCTCCCTCCAGCCCGCCACGCTCGCGACACGCTCCCCCCAGGGTGGGCTGCCCCCGCCAAGGGCGCCCTCACCTCCCCACGCGTGCCAGAGTCCATCAGGGCCCCACACCTCCGGGGCAGCCCCTGCCCCTCGGGGCTCCCCGATCGCACCCCGACTCCATAGGCTTCCCCTACCGCATCCCCGCGTGGGCCAGGCCCGCGAGCCCCCTCCCCCCCCGGAGCGGGCCTGGCCAAGGCCACGCGCTCGCCCGCTCCCCGGGTGCGGACCGCCGTGGGGATTCGGGGGCCTTCACACCAAACCCCAAGACGAGGAGGGCCGCGCCTACCGAGCACCAGGCGAGCCATGCCGAGCGTCCGCGTCGCCGCGCAGTCCTGCCGCCGCCTCCGCTCTGCCGCGCCGCGCCCCCACCGCCCCACGTCCCGCCCTCGACCGCGCGGCAGGCGCCGGGCAGCGCGGGGGGCGGGCCGGAAGGCGCTCGCCAAGCCGTGGCCGCGGCTCATTGGTCCCTGAAGGCTTCGCTCATTCGCATAGCCAATGGTAGGCGGCCGGGTAGAGGTTATCGGTCTGGGTTTTTTTTTAACGGGGGCGGGACGAGCGGCGGAAGGAGGACTCTGTCGGGGACGAGCCTGCCCAACGTCGGCCTCCAGGGTGGCCTCTACCCCCCAACCCTTCCTGGGCTTTTGGCAGTTTTTTCTTAGACACTGGTGTTTGGTTTTCTTATCTCTTGGGTCGTTACCGTGTTTACCCCACCTTTCAGCCCCTTTCCAGACCTGAAGCAACCCTGGCCTTCCCACCCCGCCTCCTCCTTGTCTCCTGGGAGGGTGACTTTCTCTGGGCCCTTTGTGCATCTAGGACCTCACTAAATGGCATTGATTTTTCTTGTTCCTGGATGGGTATTCAGTCAAAAAACATTTACTAAGCACATACTGTATGTAACACAAGTCACCGAGTATTTATTTTGTTGAATTACTTTAAAAGTCGCCATGCCCTGGGCACGTGATTTGCAAAGACTTCCACAGATAAAACCAGGTTCTCCGTGGGCCTTAGGTTTCAGGGTTCCTCGCCCTGGGTGGAGCCCTCGCAAAGCCTTCCCGTGCCCACGTGTCTTGGAAGATTTGCGAAAGTAAACTATTTAAAAGTATGATGCGCGAAGACTAGGGTATCCTTTTTTCACTCTGATTTCCCCTCCTAGGTTTGAAGTAGACTTGAGCATCTTGTTTTTGTACTAGTAATAGTTTATTTCTCGGAAGTGCTTACTACATAACAGCTCCGACTCTGGCAAAAACATTGGTGAACACAGTGGGGTCCAGGAAGGCTGGCAGGCTTCCTGGAGGAAGTGGCATTAGCCCTGAGCCTGGAAGACGTGCTAGACAAACAGGAGAGTCATTCCAGGAGGAGGGACCAAAGGGAGTGAAGAAGGCATAGCCAGGTGAGCTGACACCGAGAAGAGGAGACTGGCAGCCAATGCCAGATGCTGGGGTGAGGCTGGGGGTTGGCTGTGTGACATGGGGAGATCTTCAGATGTATGTAGGCTGGGCCCTGTAGGTCCTTGAGTTTTTCTCTAAGCTCTCTTTGGGTTTATGGATGCCATTGTGAAATCTGGGATTTGGTGTATCAAGGTAGCTAATGGTGGCTTCTAAAACAAACAGTCCTAAAATTTCATTGGCTTATACCATAAAAGTTTGTTTCCATGTGTTGACTCAGGGACTCTGGCTCCTCCCAACTACAATGTCACCTTCTTTTAAAACATACACCTTTTCTCAACCCGGGAGGTATTGCCACCAAGGAGGAGAAACTGGCTCTTGGAGGGGAGGGGTGAAAAACAATGTTTTAGCTATTACAAGGGTTACAGTCGGTAAACAGATACACAGTACATCTGTGTTTTTCAAATTTCATGGGAGAGAGGAAATTAGGGAAAGAAATATCTGAAAAAACTCCTTGGGAGGATGAAAATGAAAAAAATGAAAAAAAAAAAAAGACTGAGAGCCCTGGCCAGTTTGGCTCAGTGGTTAGAGCGTCGGCCTGCGGTCTGGAGAGACCCAGGTTCGGTTCCCGCTAAGGGCACGTACTTCGGTTGCAGTTTGTCCCCGGCCCTGGTTGGTCGTGCAGGTGACAGCCACTCAATGTGTCCCTTCACGTCGATGTTTCTCTCTCTCTCTCCCTTCCTCTCTCTCTCCAACTCTATCTGTACAAAAAATGGAAAAATATCCTTGGGTGAGGAAAAAAAAAAAAAAAAGACTGAGAAACACTTCCAGAACAGAGCTGTTCAATAGAAATATAATGTGAGTCACAACCACATATGAAATTTTAAAATTTCTAGTGGCCACATTATAAAAAGTAAAAGAGGTTAATTTTAATAATATAGTAATTATACATTCTTTTTATTAGTAGTAATGCAGTTATTGTACATTCTTTTTTTTCATATTAAGTCTTTGAAACCCAGTGCGTTTACACTGACGGCACATCTCAAAGCGGCCGCAAACCCTGAGCAGTCCTCCGTCGCCGGTAGCCTGGGCCTGTCTCCACAGCTACGCACGTGCAGAGACAGCGACCTCGCCAGTCTCTTTCCTTTTAACACCACTATGAGTTTTAAGAACAAAGGATGAAAACCTTTTGCATGACTACATTTCTTGCATTCTAGAACCGTGGCCTATATTGTGGCTCTTTGGGTGCTCAGTGAATGAGAATAGTGTCCCAGAGTTGGGTGATTCGAGACAATTTCAGAAAGTCCCCTTGACCTTGGCTGGAAGCTGGGCCAATCAAACATCAGCTCCGGGCCATTGTTCCTGGAAAAAACAAAAAGGACAATAATAACATTCTCTGAAGTACAGCAGGCTCTCCTTCCTGTTCTGCCTTCAAGGGCTTGATCACCAAGCAGAAAGGAATAAACCAGATGATTTAAGGAGGAGGAAAGGACAGTCCAGAAACCTTGACTTTTTTTTTCTAGGACAATGAACAGAATTTATAGCCCAAATTCCCACCACATTTCGTAGTTAATAATAATAATAATAATAATAACAAAAGAAGATATAACTTTGTATGTGCTACCCCTCAGAATCTTTTAAAGCAAGGTTGGGGGTGAGGATGTTGATGAATAAACGAGAAAAGTTTCTTTTCCTTCTAATCCGCCCCCCCCAGCCAGCTGGGCTACTGTGACTGCTGCTGGTCTCCCTCCCCCACTTCCTGCAGCACTGCTTCCATCCAGAAAGGAGAGAAGAGGGAGGGAGGAAGGCAGGTGGGGCTGGACTAGAAGTACCTCTGGGGGACAGTCTCATGTTTGTTACACTTGCTCAGCAGTGAATGAAATGAAAGCCCTCAGGAAGGAACCGGAATATCAGCTGACCAGGGAGAAAGGCGAAAGGTCCAGGCAGGAGCATGTGGCCTTATCGCTCAGCTGCTGCATTTCTTCTTAAAACCGTGCCTATATTTTATGATCACAGTTACTACATGCTGGTTGCTTCCTTTGTGTCAGGCGTGATGCCAAACGCATTACCTCCATGTACCTATGAAATCTCAAAAACAACTCCCCACCCTTTCGCCCTTGACGGCCTGGTTTAAATGTTAAGTCTTCAGAAGTCTTCCCTGACCACATGGTCTAAAATTGGCACCCCTTCCCTGGCCCCGTGATTTTCTGTTGAAGCCCTTGCTTTTTACCTTCTTAGCAATTATATCAGCTTCCTGTGGCTGTTGTAACAAATTGTCACAAACTTAGTGGTTAAACACAATGCCAATGTGTTACCTCTGTTGGTTAGAAGTCCAACACTGGGCTTCACTCACGGGGTCCCAGGGCTGTGCTCCTTCCTGGAGGCTCCAGGGGAGGATCTGTTTCCTTGGCTTTTCCTGCTTCTAGAGCCGCCTGCATCCCTTGCTCGTGGCCCCTTCCTCCATCTTCAAAGCCAACAATGCCAGGCGGAGTCCTTCCTGTGTCACATCTCTGTTCTCTCTCCTGCCTCCCTCTTTCATAAGGACCCTTGTGATTTCAGGGCCGATCCGGATAATCAGGATAATCTCCCTAGTTTAAGGTCAGCTGACCTGCATTCCATCTGAGATTCCCCTTTGCCGTGAAGTAGAGCTTATTCACCAGTTCTGGGGTTGGGACATGGACATCTTCGGGGGGAGGGGGCCCATTACCCTGCCGACCACAGCAATCATCACAACGTATTACTGATTTGTCCATTTCCTTCTGTCTGACTTGTGGCAGGCTCTGTGTCTTTGGGGATTCATCTGTACCACAGCGGCTGGCCCAGTGCTGACCCCCAGCAGACACTCAGTGTATATGTGTTGAGTGAAGGAATGAACCACCCTACAAGGCAGGTATTATCATGCCTCTTTTGCACATGAGAAGAGGTTCATAGTGGTGAAGAAATGCACCCAGGCTCTCAGAGCCATGTATCTTAGAGTCTATAAAGTCAGGATGGGCTGGGTTATGCTGCAGTAACAAACAACCCTCATCTCAGTGGCTTACAATGAAGGTTTGTTTCTCCTATGCTACCTGTCCGTCACGGGCTGTCTACAGCTCTCCTCCACATCGGCTTCACTCTGGGACCCAGGTGGTAGAGCAACCTTGACCAGGAACATTGCTGTTCTCGCAGCAGAGGGGAAGGGGGCCCCTGCACAACCACACACAGGCTCTTAAATCTTCTGTTCACTCATTTTCACTCCCATTTATTGGACCAAGCAGGACACGTGAGTTCAACCAGTGGGGATTATATTAGTTTGCTGGGGTTGTCATAACAAAATACCACACACTGGGTGGGTTAAACCAAAGGAATTGAATGTCTCACGATTCTGGAGGCTGGAAGTCCAAGATCAAGGTGCCGGCAGGGTTGGTTTCTCCGGAGACCTCTGTCCCTGGCTTGTGTCCTGCTCCTTTCTCTCTGTGTCCTCACGTGGTCTTTTCTCTGTGTGTACATGTTCCTGGTGTAGCTTCATGTTTTTACAAGGACACCGTTCCTATTGTGTTAGGCCCCACTCGTATGACCTCATTTAACCTTAATATCCTTAAAGGCCCTGTCTCCAAATACAGTCACATTGGGGGCCAGGGCTTCAACATACGGATTTTGAGGGGACACAGTTCAGTTGGTAACAGCGATGTATCAATTTCCCTCAGGGAAGAACATCATGGGGAGTGAAAGTGGAACATTTGGCAGAAAATGTATATAATCCAGTAGATTCTAACCCAGCTTCTCTGACAACAAAGTCCAGCGAGTACCCCTTGCTTAGGGTCCCTGTGGTGAGCCATGGGCTCCCTGAGGACAGAGGCTCAGCTCATTCCTCTTGTGTCCTCCATGTTGCCAGGATGGTGGCTGACACCCTGTCATGCTCAGCATCTTCCTTGAACGTGTGTACTATTCTATTTTATTACAATGACAATGAGCCCTTGATAATAAGG